TGGACACTTCGAGCAATCCTATTTCAAGTTGGGATTTGGAAGAACAAAACTTTCATTTTATTTTTCCTTCACCATTCTAATGAATTTGAGAAGTTCAAATGACCAGGACTATTCTTTCCCCATCCCTTGCTACTGTTTCAATTAAATCTAGCATCCACTGTTGAAAGCCTCAAAAAAGGGGGGAGGGGGCGGGGAGTTATTTCTAAATTTTTCTCTGCCAAGTCATTTTTCTGCTGTGAAAACTGACATGACTGTGGAAAATGAGAATCACTCTTAGAAGATGTGAAGTAATCAAGTTGCTTGCTGGAGGTTAGTCTCTTATTGTATATTAGAACCAAAAAATATAAACTTTGGCAATAGGGAGTTGCCTAGATTTAATTTTCAGAGGTCTCGTAATGATAGGTTAATATTGCTAATCATGTCAAACACTTGACATGGAAGTCAGTGGCAAAATCTTCAAAATGCTTATGTTATTGGCAGAAATAGTGTGGTGTTTCATAAGAGATTTTAGAATCTGTAAAATTTTGTTTTAATTCCCTGAATTTTTTTTAAGTGCAACTTTAAAGTTTTAATTTTTCTATTTAAATAAAAAGTTATATGTTTTAGCATGTCCTCAAAATAGATTTCTGTATTTCTTAGAGATACTGTCTTAACACCTCAAATTCCTACAATACAAATTCAAGTTTCTCTATAGTTCATCCGTGAAAATTATTTGACCTTAAAACAACTACTGAATAAATGGCAACTCAAAATATAACAGCGTTATTATAAAAGATGTAATTGAAGTGACTATAATCCTTGTCTACCTTTAATGATCCCATCAAGTGGGTTTTAGTTACCAAAAGGTACTATACAGTCTGAAGGCACAGGTGATGGGAAGATTTTGTTACAAGAGTTCTATGTGAATATTTTTAACCTATTAGATTAGGTTTCTAAATTTTCAGTCTGGTAAAAGCTGAAATGTCATAGAATATTGGTTCTGTTAGAGTTAAACAGAAATGTTCAAAGAGTTTGAACAAATGTGTTCAAACAGGAAAGTGTTTATTTTCAGATAAGGGGAAGTTACACGTTTCAGTTAAGCATCAGACTCTTCGGTAAATGTTGAGGGTTTTTCTTCCCTCTGTATCATTAATTATTGGATTAAATTTACTAATAGATTTACTATAATAGTTAAAATTAGAATCTCCAATATTTGATGTTTTTATTTTCTCCCAGTCCAGTAATTCCTGTATGGGAAAATTGAATTTGTATGAAGAGTTAGTCAAGTATGATGAATTCTTTGCACTTTCCCTATTTAAATAACTTAATGCTTTTAAATAAAAGCATTGGTCCTTTTTTTTTTTTTAAACACAGCAAGGCTATTTCATTATTACCCAAAGCAGCTTCAAAAATAGAGATTATTCATGTTTTTCAACAATAAAAACTTCACTTTTTATGCCTCCCAGTAAATTTGAAAATGCTATGTCACAGCTTGACTTTGCTAATTGGGCCTCATTTGATACAGCTGTAAAATAAAAATGGCCTAGAGTAAGGCCTTATTAATTCATAGTGGTAGAGTGAAGAAACTGTAAAAACGGAAACATCTCTGTACATTTTTCTGGAAAGACAGTCCATAATTTTTTTTTTACCAAAGGGCCTGTATTCTGTGTTAAGAAGCATTTGCCTAGATGATCCTGGTTTTCTTCCAGTGATAATGGTCAACTCAGTGCTGACTAGGCAGCCACCTTTCTTTTTGCATCCAGAGAGGGGTAGCCATGTAGTTTTTTTGTTTTGTTTTGTTTTTAAGCTTAGATGCTATTTGAGAGAGAACGGTTTCTAATCAAATAGTACCCAGGGAAGAGTGATGAATGCTATAAATTTATAGAATATTTAAGAATATTATGTAATTTAAATGTAAATTACAAAATAAGGAACCAAATAAACATTTCTAAAAGCAAAATGAGGCAAAGCACATTAATTCCTTGTATCTTAAATCAGACTTCTTTTCCCTTGGGGATGTATCTCTCTCAGTATCAGGTACAATTTTCTTTTACATTCTCTAAGTAAAACCACTCATTTTAAATAAAGGAAAAGCAAAATAATGTCATGAGTAATTTTTCATGGAATTGTGTTCTAAATAGGCTTACAGTTTTACTTTATGGTTCTGGTGATGGCATATACCAGTCTAATAATTCTTACCTTCTTTATTAAATCTTACCTTGCTCTCTTAAGTTTCTCAGTTGTGTTAACTTAAATGGTGGTCAGGTTCCTTGGAGACAGGGATTTGTGTTTCATTCACTGCTATATCCTGTGGATTAGAACAGTGCCTGGCACACTGTAGGCATATATTGAATGAATGTAAAATAGTTGACATACACTCATCCAGCATCCGTGGTACCCGGCAACTGTATTATAGGGCTTGAAAAAGCATCATCGCAATAAACTGTACTAACCTACAACTAAAGCCACATACATAATTGAAGTGCACTGAAGATAAGTTCTAGTGGCTAATATCTTAACTTCTTTTACGACAGAAATTTCCAAAAGCTTGTTAGTGAGAACATGCAACTTCCATGTGGTTTCTGAGTAGGAAAGAAAATCCCTTGTGATGATTTGAAATGTAGTTTTCATATTCATAAATTAAGATACCACAGTACTTTAAAAGTAGTAAACTTATGTTTAACTAGGTTAGAGTTAGTCTTTAAAGGCCATGCTTGGAAACAGCAGCAAAATTCCCAAATTCCAAATTGAGAACTAATCATTTCAGGCTATTTCCAACAAAGGGTGAGGTATGGGAAGTGAGAGGATTCTGCCGCAAGTACCTGCACACTCCCTCTAGCCCTTCATTTTATTTAGTGTGTCTTCCTGGCCTCAGTTCCTTAACTGTAGATTTTCTGTGCTTTTCAAAAAACTTGTTATATAGGAATTGCTTTTGTGACTCAATATGATTTACACTTCAAGGCCATCTCATTGTTAATGATTGGTAATTGCCCCAGGTATAATGGCCTAGATTGTTTCCATTTCAGGGGAGCTAGCTAACAACCCCTCACCGCACTTTTCATTCATAGACTGAAACAGAGTGGCTGCCTAATCAGATCATAATCCAACCAAGCCATTTCTTGATGCCCTTTTACGCTGTTCCTTGGGGTATCTAAAATGTGCTATTTATAAATATTCCTTTATCTTGGTCCTGCCTGAAACTTGGTAGGTTTGTTCTCTTGCCTACCTCTCTACAACTAAACTGAAGATTTATTCTGAAAGGTGAGTAATAATAAGGGGGAACAGGTTTCTATTTTCTGTGTTTGTAATTACCAGATTTTCTCTTCTGTTTATATATTGTTCTGATGTAAAGAACCTAATAGTTATATAAATTTAGACCTTTTGTAAATAAATATAATTTATTAGAAAAATGGCATCTTTTACTAAGTTGGATTTGTTTCAGCTTACCAACACTTCATGCATTTTCTTCAAATTTTTTCTTGGAATTAGATCGGGTATTAGTTTTAAGAGAAATGAAAAACTATCAGATTAGTCCTTTTGTATATACTGAGCTGATCATCTTTGTAGACATTTCTGATAATTTAAAAAACGTCTTAGGGCTAAGAGCTGTTTTACCAAATATTAAAGCGAATAGGTATGCCAGTTATAAAGCTATCATAAGAGTAGGTCTTGCGGTGTAAAAAGGTAATTTAACAAAATCCAGTTATGTTGAACCACAGTCAGTGATGGGTATCAAGTCCCATTCTGTGCTAAGCATTGTTGAGTTAGCAGGGTCCCTTGGGCAATCAATGAATTTTAGTGGATTAGAATTTAGATTTTTAGGGCGCCTGGGTGGCTCAGATGGTTAAGCGTCTGCCTTCGGCTCAGGTCATTATCTCAGGGTCCTGGGATGGAGTCCTGCATCGGGCTCCCTGCTCCTTGGGAGCCTGCTTCTCCTTCTGCCTTTCTCTCTATCTCTCTCTGTCTCTCATGAATAAATAAATAAAATCTTTAAAAAAAAAAAAAAGAATTTAGATTTTTAGAGGATTGGGAGTTGGGAATAAGATTTAGTTCTGAATCACTGGTAAATATCTCTAAAAGTGGATATTAATGGTATATAATGCCCCATACCTAACCATATCCATCTCCTTTGAACTACTGCTGTGCTTTGGGTTTGAAAATGTTTTGAATTTGTGGAATATTAAAGATATTATTTCTTTTACCATGAGGCACAAACTAGAGAATTTTACTAACTGGAATTTAACTTTCCCCCTCTATAAAATAAAGCTTCAACTACATTGTATAACTGTGGTGCTGTAAGAAGAGTGCTAAATTGGTAACAAAGACTTGTTACAATAATTAAACTAATCCGTGCCTCTGTAAGAAAGTTATTTTGAGGGGGCGTGTAGGTGGCTTAGCTTTGGCTCAGGCTATGATCTCAGGGCCCTGGGATCGAGCCCCACGTCGGGCTCCCCTGCTCAGTAGGGAGTCTGCTTCTCCTGTCCCTCCCTCCACTCATGTTTTCTCTCAAATAAAACCTTTATTTTTTTTTTTTAAGTTTTAAGCCACTTGACCAATTTTCTAAAATACCAAATTTCCTTGCTTTCCTAAAAAGAATATACTGAACGTTGCACAGTCTGATGATTTGGAATTACCATTAAAAATACCAGCATGTTTGGGCAATGGAGGCTAAACTGCTTGTACGTACCTTGCCAACCAATGTAGTTGTTGGTTGCAGGGTTACCTCTATGCAGTCCACACATAACCTATCCGTATACACACAACAAATTTGGGGGCGGGGGTGGTGGTGGTAATATCTTCACCAAACACCAGTGTTTCTCTGGAAGCAATAAATTGGTAAGTACAATTTTGGAGATGTATCCCTCACTACCAAAATCTATTAGGTTCTTACGTTCCATACAGCAAGTGATCAAGAGTTTGTATCGTGAGGGCAAGCAGCAAGATACAACTTCCTAGAAGATAAAAGTATATAAAACCGGTAACCCCCCCCCCAAGGTATGCCATTCAAAGACTACAACATATTACAGAATAGTAGTGTAAATAGTTTATTTGCTCATATGTCATGAAAAGACCAGAAAAGTAACATGAACTGCTTTTTTATAAAACATTTCTAATATTGCTAAGAAGCAAGCCCATTAATAAACAGAAAAGAACATGCCAACATTATTGTCTATTTGATTAATAAATATGCAATTATTTTAATATATGCTTATTAGCATTGAGCTTTGGAAAACAGCTGCTTGTCATAAAGGGCCAACTACTCGTGTATCATGGTCAAATTGCTTTTTTCATCAAAATCAATGTTAACAGACAAAATCTTGGCATGTTCTTTTTAAAGTACACATTCAAGAAAATGTGCTAGCAGGTGGCAGTTTTAAAAGTAATTTTTTTGTAAATAGGTATGCTAAAGTGAAATGTAACTGATCCCTAAGCTCTCCTTGTAGTTAAATATATATATTAAAAAAAAAAAAACTATAAGTTAAAATAACATTCAGATTGTATAGCACAGGCTGATGCATTTTTAAACAATATTTACAATATTACCCAGAGGCTAAGGTGGGAATTAAAGTGTAAAAACCATAAAAAACTGCACCAATTTTATAGCAAAATATCTGTACATTTAAAAAGAGATCATATAACTACACATTATCCAAGGAAAATGGGACCTTCACCAAGGAGTTCACATAAGCACAACATAAAATAAGAAATTCAGTGGTTAAATACTATACAATAAACTTTACAATTAATATATTGATGTAATGTACCAAGAAGGTAAGCCAGAAGCAGAATGTTTATTATGAAAAGTACAAATCGGCTTTAGTCCAGTTTTTGACTTTGGAATGGATCAAGTGCCCTGCCAGAGAGGAAGGAAAAATAACAGTGGCTTAGTTGGCCATTTAGTCCCATTACATACCATTTAAGCTTAATCCCAATGTGAATATTTCAAGCAATTTAATTGCAATTCCCCATAAAGCAATGATGCTAAATACATCTCCGATTTACAAAAGGAGGAAGAAGTGGGGGTGGGGACCTGCGATTGTCAGGAGAATAAGGCTAGGTTAACTATCACTACTAGCTAGCAGAAGTAATCTTGAATGCTTGATAGAGCTAGTGAACTTCTCCCTGGCTAGCAAGGCACCAATTTCTGTTCTCAGGATAGGCCCATAATGGTCTCAGAAATCCTAATACTGATTACTGAGATGTTAATTTTAGTGCTAATAAATACATTTGCATTATTATTTTAAAAGCTGCCTCTAGCTGAAGAACAGTACTGCAAAAAAATCTTACACAAATTTGTATGCCATCATACCCTTGCTTTCATACTGGTGAACTCTCACGGGGCATCATACCCTAGCATAGCAGTGTAGAATGTAAAACGAGACACAGCTGAGTGACTTCTTTGCCACTGCAATGCATCCTGTTTGTACTCTGCTGGGGCTTGGTTATGGACAGGAGCTTATGTGACTTTTTCCTTCTTCCATGTTGCAAGCCCTTAAAAAGACAAAGTTGATGGGTATGTCTAAAACTCAAACGCAATTCCTTAAAAGAGCTCTCAGCAAAGGAAACCCACAGCAGATGCATCCATGTTATTTACAACTTATCAGGAAACCAGGGTGTGCCATCATGGGACAATCACAATGGCAGATAACGAGTGTAATACGAGATTTACATTTTGGTTAAAAAATTGGATAATATACTGGTAAAAAGATACCTAATCAAATCAAACCCTATTGCTTTGATTAATCTGAGCAGGTACTTCCACTTTTAGGCACTTGTTAACACAGGTTGAAAGGAGAGCCCATCATTTTTAAATTCCTATGTGTTTGCTAAATCTGAGCCCTTAGAATATTTTGTCAATGTTCAAGGTTGCAGTTAAATGGTAGCACGTAAAGTTCATGTGGAAAGTTTCATTCACGCATACTCTCTACTCATACAGGCAGGTCTCAGGTTCACATGGTTATCTCGGCACCATTAACAGAACGCAAGTTCTGATCATCAAAGCGCCGCCTGACACTTCTCCTCACCGCATCGGCTCGTCTGTATGGTTGGTTTCTAAGATCTGTAAAGAGGAGAGTATCAATGAGAGAACTGCAACCTTTAGTATCATATGTCTAAGCAAAGACAAAGGTCAGCTGGCAGCCAATCAAAGCAGCTTGGGTAGGAGAGTCAGCCAACAGGCCCTTCAAATCCATTGAGTATTTGAGCCAAAGACATGTACTTTGCCCTCAATAGTTAAAGCAGGATGTAATACTGATGCGAATCTGGAACTTTTAGAAAAATATATAGGAAAGGCAACTGTTGTTGTCACTGGCCAGAGAATCTAGCTGGAGTCTTACTTTGAAATGTTTCTTCAGTTGGAAAAAGCTGTGGTTTAGTTTTGCCCTTTTTTCCCCCTGGAAACCTGAATATCAATAATTGTAATGAATTTTAAACTGCAAAATTAATAAACTGCCCTGTCCAATCTTATCTGGAATTGTAATCAAGGAAGGACACTATGCTTATTTTGTAGGCAGAGGTTCTGTTATTTTTATTCAATTAGTATTAGCTGAGGTCTGTTTTTTATTTTGTGAAACACAATGCTCAATTAACCACTGAACAAAAATAGTCACTAAATCAAAATAATACTCCATTCCTGTACATTGTCTCCTGCCACCCAGTATTTCCTGTTTTTCATTGGAGGGGAGAAGTTGTTTGGGCCTTCCAGCATTCTCCAATTTGTACTGCAAATGCACAGAATGTTTAAAAATGCCTAACATTAAAAAAAAAAAAAAAGCCTTGTTGAATGAATGAATCAACCACTGCATATTGGTTCAAGCAGGCACTGTTCTAGCAGAATACACTGGGATGAACAAAGGAATTTTATTTTATGTAAGCATTCTTAATATGAAATCATGCTTTCTTGATGAATACTTAAGATAGGTAGCCTAGCCAGCAGGTAAGCTGCTTCTGATGGGGTCAGGGCAGGCTGTGTACTTTTTTCCCCACTGTTTCATTTAGTTAGTATTTATTTCCCTTCGTATTGTTGACTTGTTAGGAAACATTCTTTCGAAGGGGGAACATAACAGAATTAAACCAGACTGAGTCTTTTTTATTCCTTTACCTACTCAGGAGCTTGAAAATGGAGCTAATGGGCCATATCTGGCCTACAAAATATTTAGCCCCCAACTTATACTTTTAAATACAGCTTCCTGATCTTTTAATAGATAATATCAAAAAAAAGAGGAATTCTGACTTCCCTTGGAAAACTGGAGGGTCTGGCAATACTGAGCCCAAGTTTTCACATGGCAAAAAGAAATGAGCTGAGTGCTGAGACCTATGCTCTCAGGTTCAGCATAGTCCGCACCAACTCCCAACCCCTTGGAATTCATCACCCTGCCTTACTCTTTCTAAATTCAAGGGAAGAATAGTTTTACATGCCCTAATCCTCTCAAGCTTCTGCTTCCTGGCCCAGAATGGTAAGGGAAGGTTGGAATTCCACTTCTAGCTAAGGATATGCAATGACTTGTAGCTCTATAATTCCTGAGTCTTCTGAACAATTGGCTCTAAAGATCCAAATCTTTCTTCAAAGGCTATAGATCATGTTCCCTGGCCAGGACTTGGCTCTCAGCTTCTTCAGATCAAAAGGGGTTAACTGATTAACTCGAAGGCCGAGAAAAGGGTAGGGGAAGGACAGCCTAGCACCCAAAGCAAGTACAATCACCAGCAAATACCCTTGCCCAAGCCATCACACTTGAAAACATGGAAGCAAGCCACAAAGAGTCCAACAGAGAAGCTGCCTCACATCACTGGAATGTGAGGTTACAAAGACTTCCCCCTTGTCAGACTCTCAACAGTATTACCCTCAGCCATAGACTGAAACCACTGATCTGCATACAGAGAGAGGAGGAAGCTAAGTAAAAAGTGATGCTTGCCAGCTCTGTGTATCCTCCACCACCGGTGTGCTAGAAGAAATCCTTACCCTCGAGTGAACATTTGGAAATTTAGTGATATTATTCTTCTTTAAGGCTAAACAGAAAAAAACAAAAACACAAAATGATGGTTAAGTAAAAATGGGATGAAAATGGAAAGCAATTCAACTTAGTGCTTAACATACCCGGCATGTTAGCCAATAGAGGAGGAGAGTGGGAGGCCATTAATACAAGAGGTGTTAGATAAAACAAGGGAAAGATCAGAGTGTCTTCCCACCCAGCTCTCTGACCACCCAAATCCAAGCTGCTTTGAAGTTTGGCTCCAGAATGATAAAGACAGTCCAGCAGCAAAACTGACAGGAACATTAGCTGAGTAGACGACAGTGTCTAGCCTGGTTAATAAGCACTGGTGGGTAAGTACACTGCAGAGCAAGCAACAATGATACACCACATCCTCTGATATCCTAAAAGACAGAGGAACATACGTAACAAGTGCAATTCACAGAAGAGTTAATGCCACAAAACAAACACGTACCCTGTTCCATGTCAATCTCAGCATGGGAGTTACACAATGGATATTTCCAATTAGAGTATGTGCTTCCCTTGTCCCTTTTCTAATCAACTGGGCACTGCAAAGAAGTTTCTTATGTAGCCATCGGGAACCAAGGGCAGGGAGTTACCTCTTGAAAATTTGGGGATTTTTTTTTTTTAATTCTAAGAACAGTGGCATTTTCCAATAATAGGTATTTGCTATTAGTATTTCTGGTTGCCACCATCCTAACCAAAAATGCAGGTCCAGATATGATCTCATCACAAGAGAAATACCCTGGATTTGACAGGGAACAGAGAGCCACAGTGAAGAAGCGCGAATGAGAGAAGACTATGGGAAGCTCCTAAAGCCTTTGTTTTCACTTTCTGCCTCACAGCCTTGCTCCAACATGGAACTGCTGATAGCTAAACTCGGGCATGACACTCAGAAGGAAAAGAGGCTGAGTATAAAGCTATGGATTGCCTATATCAACTTATACAGACTTCTATGTCCAAAGTGCTCTTTGCTTGTACCGTGAGCTCCATCATACTGTGGATGATGGCTGTAGACAGTATAAGACAGTTAAGAAAGACCCAATTTACAACTGTGTGTAGTTCACAATTCCTTCTGCAAATCATTTTTCAACTTTTAGGCACTTTGTGTTCCTGAGCACTTGCCTACAGCCCAATTTATTATCAAAGCATGGTAACTGAATACAGAAAGGAGGCTGGTTTAATATATGTAAACCCATTAAAACACAGCAAGTGCTCAATAAATGTTAGGTATAGTAGTTATTGTTATTAACTATCATTTTGTGTTCAAAGACATCAGCCCAAAAGTCTTTTAACAACGTAGCTGATCCCAATGCTAATTCTCAATAGTGCTCTATTTATACTATTTTTCTAACCCACACACACTCAGACCACCATAGCCATGTGGATTCATAGATATATTGAAAGTGGCAATGAGTAAACAGTAATGACTGACATGCAAAACCATGCAGTGTGAACGCAACATAAAAGATAACATGGCGGAGATGGCGATTCCATGCTAGCTAGCATCCTGGGTGGCCCTAACAGACATGCAGAGGGAACTAAGAGGTCAAAAAATCTGTAGCAACCTTTTAAGAGCATCAGGTGAGAAAGAGTAATAGTTTAGTAATGGTATTCCTCAGTGAGAACAGGTTCGCAGAAAAATCGAGAGCCACGCTTGGCGGTGCGAGCGGTAAAGGGCACAGTCTTCAGCACTGCATCGAAAATGACAGCCAAATAAGACAAACAGAAGAGAGTAAAAAGCCAGGATCTATCACATTAGTACATGGTTAGTGCTTTGTTAATCATACCTGGAGACGGGGAAAGGCAATTTATACCCAAGGGAGTTCATAAAGTCTAAAAGAGGTACTCAATCTTGGGCTCGGGGGGTGGAAAATGGAAAATATTTTAAAGAGAATAAAAACTGTAGTATCTGTGAGCAGATACTCATTCACCTCCGATGAGATTAGGCAAACAGAAACTGTACATTTTGCTCATTTGACAAGCCAGGGGTCACTGAGATGGAGAAACAGACTGATGGAAAAGGAACTCTTAACTGTGTGAGGCTGGATGCTTCTCTCCCTACAAGTTAATCATACTGTGGCACTGAGGCAAATAGGTGCTTACCCCAAAAAGATCTGCTCCTAGTCTTGCTTACAGCAAAGCTGCTCCCTCAGGGCCGGGGAAACAAAGAGAGGTGCCCAACAATGGGGACTTTACCTGGGGGTGCCACGTGCAAACCACTGCCGAGGAAACAATGAGATACGGGCAGGCACGCGCATATGGACTGTATGGGGTGCCAGATGCAGACGCAGGCATTTCATCAGCCACTTACCTAGCCACTGACGACTCAAACCACTTTACTCTGGGCCAGAAACTCTTTATCGACTTCCTGTCCGGGATTTATGTACCTATTTTATTTCCTTGGGTCTGAGCTGGTGGAAAAAAAAATGGTGGTTTTGGCCGTTTGGGATCCCTAACTATGATGTGAAGCTATTCCCAAAAAATGAGAAGTCAAAATTCTAAGAGTTACATTTTTTAAAAAAAAATTAGGATGGCTCAGGAAATGTGACTAATGCGTATCTGATGTGAAAAAGTTGTTAGTTTTGGAGGTGTGATGATACTCTGTCTGGCTATGTTTGTTTCTTTATTAAAGAGTCGTTATCTTTTGAAGACACAGACACTGAAATATAACTAGATGAAATCGTAGGTCTTAGATTTGCTTGAAAGTAATCCCAGAGGATGGGGAATGGGGAGCAGACATGTAACAAGACCGGCCCTGAGGTGGGAATTGTTGATAGGTGATGGGTATATACAACTCATCATGCTATTCTCTGTACTCGGGCATTGCATGTTTTTAAAATTCTCTACGATAAAAAAAAGTGGTAAGTATCTTGGAAGCTAAAGAACAGTACTCCTATGAACAGACATGAAAGTCACTTGCAGCCACTGCCACAGACAGTGGCTCAAATCATTGTCCCCGACTGTAAGAGACGCAGAATCTCTGGAGAATTGCTTCAAGCAGCAAGCATGAGGCTACAACTTAATCAGGTAAGAACCAAGCTGGTTGGGCACCACTCATTCCTAGCTGACGATCCTGATTTTCTCTGGTCTTCAGTTACTTCGAATGAGTAAAAAGGCTTTTATTTTTATTTATTTATTTATTTATTTTTTTAAAAGATTTTATTTATTTATTTGAGACAGAGAGAATGAGAGACAGAGAGCATGAAAGGGAGGAGGGTCAGAGGGAGAAGCAGACTCCCCGCCGAGCAGGGAGCCCGATGCGGGACTCGATCCCGGGACTCCAGGATCATGACCTGAGCCGAAGGCAGTCGCTTAACCAACTGAGCCACCCAGGCGCCCCGTAAAAAGGCTTTTAAAGAGCATGCTGGGAAAACCTGCGCTGACCGTGGTTAGTACGCAACCCTGAATGGGCCTTGTCAGTGGTACTTATTAGGCAGGCAGGCAGGTGGGAGTGGCCACAAGGTAGGAAATGGAGCAGGGAAACAAATCGAAGACAGTGGGAAAACCATCAGGAGGAGGAGCCTGGTGAAATCTGCAGGGTTCCAATGATAACGAGAAAGACAGTCTCCAGGGGGCGCTAGGGTTTTCTGACAGGCAGTATGCAGGCTACTAGAAATACACCTGAAACACCAGCATGGAGTCCCTCCACATAATTCTGGATCTGCATCAAGTCACCTGAAGACCCTGTAAACCCTGGACAAAAGTAGCAGCGAACTGTGCAAGTAGTCCACTATGGGCAGGATCAGTGGGGTCTCTACGGGCCACCAGGAGAAAATATCTTTTACCTGTGATAATGTCTTCAATGGCACCATCTTTGCCTTCATATACATGTCTGTTATCTTTCACTTGTCGCCTTCTTAATTCTGCAATTAATTCTTGCTGCTGCCTCTTTGATTTGTGGGAAGGAGACTAAGGAGAAAGAAGGATGGCAGAGATTAGTGGGACCAGCACCCATGGGAGGCTTGAGAAAACCGCAAGTTCTATCACGAACATGCAGCCTCAGCCAAAAAACACAAGCAGCACCATCCCAACATCCTGCTCAGAGACACACTCAGAAAGCTTCTGGGAAAAAAACAAACTTTCTCTGAAAAGTTTGGTGGCGGCTGGGAAGGCTGGTGGTGGCTGGGAAGGCTGGGAAGGCTGGTGGCGGCGGGAAGGCTGGATCGTACGGCCACGAGAGGCAGCTGGTGACAACCATCCTTCTGAAACTTCGGGGCAGAGGATTGGGATGAAGAGTACTCTGACCTGCCAGTCTTTGTGGTCTTCACCTACGCTGCTTCCCTCCAGGGAATCCTCCCTCCCGTTCCTCAGAGTGAAGCCGGCCAGCGATCGAGGCCAGCACCAATGGCGACCCCATGAAGCTTTCCTGGACCCCATGCAGTTCATTGTCAGGCTACCTGGCGCAGCCTCACTGTAGAGTCACCTGAGATTTAAGTTCCTGATCCCTATGAACCTGGAAAGGCTATGCAGACACGCTCTTCGCCTCTTTCTACTGTTTGCGGAACAGAGGAATGAACAACAAACCCATCTGCCACGTTTCCAAGCCCTAGAAGGAAGCCGTCGGGCTCGTGTGCAAATCTGGCTTTTCGCCCCTTTTCCCTGCTGGCACTGAGGAGACACGAGGCCGTCTCAGCACCCGGCCACTTCTCACCTTTGGATCCTGCTGCTCCATCAGAGCTTCCTGCTCCAGGAGTTTTTCCATGAGTGCTTGTTCCTGCTTTTTCCTCAGCTCATTTTCCTCTTCTGCTTGCTGGGCAAAGTCAAAGGAACCAAAAGATTATGTCAGTGGAAATGACCGCCATCAAGGTTTTCTAAAGTCATTCCTAAGAGAGTCTTGGCAAGCCAGGAGTCAGAACACACAGGAAGCTGACAAGACCTACACTTAGGCCCCTCCAGGACTCTGACCCGGGCTTCCCCTGTTGGTCTCTATCACATCTCCTCAAAATCCAGCAATCTCGAGGTACCTTGTCCAGAAATCCTTTCCTGAGGACCGCCTCCCCACTCACACTGCTTCTCAGCCTCAGTCCCACAGACATGGACGGGAACTCTCCTTCTGACAGCTCTGCTCTGTGATTCCCACGTGAGCTTGTTTTGCTTCCAGAACCTGTCCACGTACCTCTAGCTTCTCTGAAACCAGGAGTTCAGATTCCTCTCCTTTTGCCCATTTTTAGGGGAAAACCTCCATTCCCTTGCCTCCTGTTTCCTCCAGGGGTCTCACCCCAGAGCTCACTCCTTCCCAAGGGCTGCAGAGCGACTGAGTTTGGGACAAGAAATCAAAACAGGCTCACCCCGGCCAGCCTCCCTAAAGAGACTCCTAATGGTCTCACTGTGAAGTGATCAGTCAGCTATCTAGTTCAGGGCTGAGATATAAGCTCACAGACACACCCCACACCCCCCAGCCCAGCTATTATGGGGAATCAAGTTTACATTTTGGACCCCTGTACTTCTGTCTTAAGTTACATTCTGGTCCGACCTTGGGAAGGGAAAGGAGGGATGACAACCTACAACCCCAACATCTTCCCAAAAAGTCCCCAGGTCAGTGCCAGCCTGGGAGTCATTCACTGTGTAGTATCTATGGCCAGTAAAACATCCCACACCACCACTGCCTGGCGAGCACCCCACGGAGCCTGCTAACAGGACACAGGGTGAAACAATAATGTAGAAGGGGCTCATTGACGGGCTCTGACCTGTGTCACCCCACACAGATCACCAAGGAACTTCGCTTTTTCCTCTGCTCTACACATACCCCTGCTCAAGTATCAGGCTTTGGGACCTACCAGACCCGCTTCCCAGCTCACATTCTACAGTTTAAAAATAGCCTATATTTTTCCCTATAGACCTTAGACTTAACAATTTTTTATGTGAAGAAATGTGGTTGCAGCACATAACAAGAATCACTTTGAGTGATCTCTTCCGTAAACTAGGATCACCAGCCAGTGAACCCTGAGCACCACGGTCAGCAGCAGCTGGTGACCAGAGACCTCCTGTCTGACACATGGACTCGGTGCTGCGTCTGGGTTCATCCTCACCCCGCCTCTGCAAACAGTTTGTGATGTCAGCGGTATGGGAAGCCATGCTGACAGCTAAATAATGTAACCTGACAGTTGTGGAGCTGGAGAAGTGACCCACTATATCCAAGCGGATGTTTCTCAAAAATGTAGATGACCTGGGGTGCCTGGGTGGCTCAGTCGTTAAGCGTCTGCCTTCGGCTCAGGTCATGGTCCCGGGGTCCTGGGATCAAACCCCGCATTGGGCTCCCTACTCTGCAGGAAGGCTGCTTCTCTCTCTCCCTCTTCCCCCCAATCCTGTTCATGCCCTCTCAAAATAAATAAAATCTTTAAAAAAGAAAAAACCACATCCCCCTCCTCCCCCTATAATCACACTCCTCCTTCCTCCACCAATGTTACCGAGGTTATGTGTAAACAACCCTGGAGAGTACAGACTGCAGTGTCTCCTAAGTGCACTAACATCCCCGAACGCCCCCACATTCCCCATCATTCTTTCTCAAGGAACAAATTCTTCCAACACATGCCTCTCTGGGTCACATTCTTTTTCAAGACCATAGCTCTGGATTGTGTCAAATGACCTATTTAAAGGAAGGGCCATTACTGGTCCAGATGAGGAAACAGACAGCAACCCTCCTTCCTAGTGCCACCTTTCAGTCCACGCTAGAGAAGTGTTGGTCTAGACGACCTAAAGGTCTTGGCAGAACACACACGAGCAGGCTGTCCCTGACCTCAGCTACAGGACCCTTGCCACAGGCCAGAGTCCCCTCCTTTCACCTGTCCAACAACTGCATGGGAAGCCTGGGGTTTCCAAGTCCTTCACCCCACCCACAAGAGTGAACATTCAATGAGGAAGTTACAGTCCTGGAGTGTCTTCACTTGCCCCAAAGGGCAGCCAGGAGTTTTTGCCTTTGGGCTGAACTGCAGGCCTGGCTGGCTGGAGACAGGGAGCATCGTGGGCTGAGGGCCCCAGGAACACGCAGCCCCCACAGGACTGGAGACTGCTCAGACTCACGCTGACCTCCCAGATCTGCTGCCCAAAGGAACAGGGGAGGCCTCTGCACAGCAGTGGAGACTCAGACACAGCTCCGGGAGGGCACCCACTTGACAAACAATGCCAAGGAAGGCTTTAAAGGACCCCATGCTCCTATTTACCTTATAGGCTTTCACAAACCGGACAAAGACGGGAAAGAAGACAGAGGGTGGTGTCGTCTTGGGGTTTTCTCCAAAATACTTCACCACATCATCAAAAGCGTCCTGTAAAGAAGCAAACTCCTCTTAAGTTTCATAAGGTCCAGGGGCGCCTGGGTGGCTCAGTTGGTTAAGCGACTGCCTTCAGCTCAGGTCATGATCCCAGGGTCCTGGGATGGAGTCCCACATCGGGCTCCCTGCTCTGCAGGGAGCCTGCTTCTCCCTCTCCCGCTCCCCCTGCTTGTGTCCCCTCTCTCGCTGTGTCTCTCTCTGTCAAATAAATAAATAAAAATCTTAAAAAAAGTTTCATAAGGTCCAGCACGTGAACTTGACCCCCTGGGGGAAGAGCAGCAGAGCAGGAGGGAGGATCCAGCCACCGCCACAGCTCTCCTGCGGCCCCCTCACGCTCCCACGACCCTCTCGGGCCTCCGGTGTCCTCCGTACGACGCCTAGGCTGAGAGAGCAGAAGGCAACAGTGCCGCACAAGGCTCCTCTCGGGGACCACCTGCACTTTTACACACCGCCTCTCTCTCTCTCTCTCTCTGACACACACACACACGAGGAATTACCCCTTTCAAGAGCTTCCTAAGGCCATGGCAGACAAGGGTTAGAAGGGATCTCAGAAGTCACTCAGACTCCAATCCCAGCTGGCTGCTTCAATGCTCCTTACAGTGTCCCCACCTCAGGGACACTCACGTCTCTGCTTAAACTCTTTCCTGGCACAAGACAGCCTCGTTCCGGAGCTGTCCCACCCCGTCTGCGTTCTGAGTCCCCACCACACTCTGCCTTCCCTTCTGTGATGGCATGCAGTCCACTTTGGCCGTTTTTTAAGTGTGTAAACTTAACCCCCAGTGTACTATAAGATTTAGAGGTCAAGGCCTACAGAAACCCAACACACTGGGAAGGAGCAGTGCTTTGCTAAGCACAGGAATGACTACATTTTGGCCAAAATGAATATAGGACTCACAGAGAAGGAGCCTAGGACTAAAAGGGGAGGGGAAGGAGAGAGCCTCTAGAGAAGAGAGTGAAGACTCCAAATCAAAAAAGGACAATGAACAGAACAGGGACAGTATTCAGAAAGATCTCACCCACAGGAGTCATTAGCTACAGAAGAAATCTACCCTCAGCAGACAGAGGGCAATTCTCCTCCAAAGCCAGGCCAGCACCCAGGTGGGTTTAAGGGATCCAATCACGTCCTTGCGAGTGTCCAGGGCACAGATGCTTACCTGTGCAATCTTGGCATCATCCTGCAGCTTCTTCAGCTTCCCCTCATTGTTGAGGATGAACTCCTTCAGCAGTGTGTTGTGGTCATGCATGGTGTACTCCCTCTTGGTTAAGTCCATGCCCCTCTGGAGCTCCTTGACGTCCAGCAAAACATTCTCGAGGGAGACTGAAGTAGAGACAGCAATGTCCCCATGAATGTCAAAACCCCAGTGAGTCTGGCTGGTAAGCCCAGCTCTCAGTGGATTCCTAGGGTCACTCAAGGACCTTAGATCTTTCAGAGCGAAGACCTTACAATGTGAATAATTTACTACTGCTCACCGCCCTGCACTGCATTAACTTCTGTGTAGGCACTAATTCATTTGCACTATCAGCCCAGTTTGCCAACACCACCACAACAAAAAGCAGCATAAAGAGGTTACATGGCCTGCCCGATGTTGCACAGCTAGGAAGTGGCCAAAATGGAGTTCGGAGAACAACCATGCACCCCACATTCTGGGATTATACCAAACTATTCCTTTTTTCGTACAGGAAGATAACCTATCCGTGGGTCTGTAGGCTCAGAGACTCCTGAACTGTGCAGGGCCCAGGATCTGATCCTTTAACACTCTGACCTCATTTACATTTCTGTGTCTCTCCAGCAGGGGACAGCATTGAGATGTCGGACTTTAGTACCATTGACCACTAGAAACCAAGCAAGCTTGGACAGCTTCTTGTCAAAGAAGCCTTCCCTGCTTCAGAAGGATTTCTCAGCATGAACCTTTCCATCTGCAGTATGGCCACCCTCCCAGAGCAGCCTTCCTGCTACCTTCCACACCCACCTTCCCCTCTGGCTCCCTGCTGCCCGACTCAGCTCTGCACGTGGATGAATTACACAACAAGGCAAGGTTAGGTTTTTCCCTTGCTAGACTCACACGGTCTTACTCAACTCTGACTCCTCAATGCCTAGGACAGTGCCCAGTACACCGCAGGGACTCAGAAAGGCTCACTGGATTAGCAAAGGGAGTGACTGGATAAAGGAGTGAAGGTATAAAGAATCCATGTCAGCTCACCTGGACATCAGAGAGAGAACACAGAGAACAATGCAGCCAGAGAACCTCCATCTCTCCACCTGCCCTGACTGATTTTTTCCAACGCTTTTGGGGAATCTCAGTTGGGCCAAACAAAATGGTCAAAACAAAAATTTTTGTTAAACTTTTTTTTAAATTAGAATTGTGATGCTAAAGAACCCCGAAATTTAGGCAAAGAGTAACCTGGAAGAAGGAAAATCACTGCCTCCTGAGCCCTGAGCCCTCAGTGGATCTGTCACAGCCTGCTCTGCACAGCTCTGCACAGTCAAAATATCAGTCCCCCCTGCTTCTCAGCCTCCACTAGGGCTCCCTCAGTACCTGTCCCCAGTTAGCACTGCGTCATCTCATTCATTCGTTCACTCATCTACCTATGCGCCCCAACAATTTACTAGGGGCTACGGGAATAAAGATAAATAAAACTTGATTATACTCATAAATCCACAGGTTGGAATGGACATGCAAACTGTGTTAATAAAATTTGAGAAATCTTGTATGAAAGAGTAGTGTGGAGTGCTCTGTAGTAAGAACACAAAAGGAGAGGCCGTTTACTTTGAGGAAGTCAGAGAAAGCCTTCCCCGCAAAGATTCAATTCACTAAGTCTGAAGCAGGCCCCGGGAGTATGAATTTAAACACCTTGGAGGCTCGGGGCTCAAGATCCTAACGTGAGAATCACAGTATGTAATCAACTCTGGGGTCAATGTGCATCTGGTTCCTTTTTCTAGCTGAAAAAGTCTTTGGATCGCCTCTTGGCCTTTTGGCTGAGATCAAATGAACAGTCTTTGGAGAGGACATGGTACATTACAATAAAGTATGTGAGAAGACGTGGGTTCTAGTCCTGTTTCTATCACGTTCTACCCATGTGACCTTGGGCAAGCTATGTAACCTCTAAAAATGTCAGTTTTCTCATCGGTAACATGGGGATACCATTACTTACCTATTATAGCCCAGCCATCTCGGAACCATTTGATGATTTAAATGAGAAAATGCATAACTGCTATGGCAAAATAACAGCCAAAAGTACTGATAATTTACCTTGTGCTCAGGCTAAAGGCACAATGCTTGGAACTACCACACCTGAGCAAGTGGGATGGGACAAAATCAAACTGAAGTATTTCTTGGGGGGTGATTTTCAGATTTTCACTCTCGTGTTTCAACAACAGCAATAGACTAAGAAGGACATCAAATGGAAGAGGGAAGCTGCCCAAGGTCCAGAGCCCCGACTCTGTACAGAGGACACAGAGAGGTCTCCCTCGTGTCCCTAGTTGCTACGGCTCCCAGGCGTGGGCAACACCATGGCCTACACACTCCAGCCAAGAGCATCCGACTTTTCACCTTGCCTTTCCAAAGGGGTTCCGAAGACCAGTTAAGCAGGGGATGGCTCCCCCAGGACCCATGATTAAAGGCACCTGATACCCAAGGGTAACAGGAAGAGCTGAAGTCAAGTACCTGCAGCAGCTTTCTCCACATAGTGAAGCTCATTATAAAACAGGGACACTTGGTGATATTTCTCTTTTACCACATTTGAAATGTAGTGCAACAGTGTTTGCTTTCGGTCTGTTGACTTTGTATCTAAGAGCTGAAAACAAAAGGAATATATGCGTTAAAGAAGATGGGAAGCCTGCCCCCCAGATGATGCCCTCCCACTCAGAGTAACTGAGTACAGCACCCCAAAAGTAGACAAAAAATACCCCCATGGGAGGATCAAGCTTGGACATGTTCTTCACTAAACCAGCCCACTAACTTGTAGAAGAGACCACAGGACTTCTCCAACCGGGGGTATGTTCGGTGTTGGGGACGATTCCAACACACATCTCTACCCACACAAAATCACCCCACCGCACATCTGCCACACCACCTCCCCTGGCTAAAGAGTAGGAAGCGCCCAGTTTGAGTGCTTTCCGAAGTGAAGGAGCAGAGGAGTGAGCGTGGAACCAGCAGGCGTGCAGTACTGCCCACAAGACAGGACTCCCACACCGCAGGCTACACGTTCCCAGTCCAGCCCTCTCTTGCTCCCCAGCCTCCGTGACACGAAGCAGCTGGGCTTACCACACATGACCCTCCCGGGCCAGAGCTGGGACTCACTGGACGCTCCCTACCAAACAGCCATGTCTCCCCAGGGCTCGGGACTCAACCCACTGCCCAACCTTCTCATGTGGAAGCCACGTTAGCCCCACAGAGCCTTGGGGGAAGAGGATTCCACGGAGGATTGTCTCTAGCCCTGCCCATCTAAGTCAGATGACTCTGAAAAGCAGCAGACACTTTTCCATCCAGGGAAGGGACAGGGGAGAGGGATAGATATACAGATAAAATATATACGTATGTATATTTAGAAAATACATGGGCGCCTGGGTGGCTCAGTTGGTTAAGCGACTGCCTTCGGCTCAGGTCATGATCCTGGAGTCCCGGGATCGAGTCCCGCATCGGGCTCCCTGCTCAGCAGGGAGTCTGCTTCTCCCTCTGACCCTCCTCCCTCTCATGCTCTCTGTCTCTCATTCTCTCTCTCGCAAATAAATAAAATCTTAAAAAAAAAAAAAAAATACAGAAAAGTAAAAAGAAGCACTTTGAAAAAAAAGATCCCTCATTCTGTCCAATCTCTCTGTTAATATCTTAACCCATTTCCATTCAGGTTTTTCCTGCATATTTTACTTGAGTGAAATCAATTAGTCCATGCAATTTATACTCTTTTCTAAACACAAAATCATCTATTTCTTTGAAAATTCTTCACATTCTAAGAGTTGAAGAATAGTTCACCATATTAACTATTGTTATAGTTAATAATTTTCCAAAATGTTGGATCTTTACATTGTTTCTAATTATTTGCAATTATAAAATAAATAAAGCATTCATAATTCAGATTCCTGAGGAAAGAGTCCCAGAAATGGAAACACTGGGTCAAAAGGCATGAGGATTTTTAAGGTTCTAAGTGCTCACTGCCAAATGATGTTCCAGAGAATTTATACCAGTTGATTCTCCAACTAGCAGACAATACTTGGTTGATTTAGGTTTCACATTCACTGAATTCACTAAAATTATTCCTATAATTTTAGAATATCATTGTTTGAAAAACATACATTATTTATGTTTTTGATATTTGAAAATAAAAAAAAAACTTTGCTTATTTCTGGGGAAAAAAAGAAAATTCCACTCCCATTTCCAAGAGCTGACTCTCCTCCACTCTGGGACTTAAATCTCTGCCAGCTCTTTTGTCCCTTGAATAGCCTTGTATTTCTTTTAGTTCACTCACCAGATCTAAACTCTGAAGTTTAAATCCATAAACTGCTCCTCGTTTACTGCTATTCATATAGTTTCCAAGGGCCAAGATGATCTGCAAAAAGAGAGAGAGGGGAGAGAGAGAGAAACAAGCCTATTAGTAGAGCATCCCAGGCATTCCCAGGCCCAGGAATTCAGCTGACAAGTCAACTCTTCCCTGTATGTATATGAGGAAAACTTCACTTGCCTCCAGAATTTTCTTGAGTTTTTGGGATGACTTTATAGAGACAGATGCTGCTATAATTGAGTGCAGTTGCTAGATTCCATTCAAAGGAAGGAAGGGGAGGGGAGAGAAAAAGAGACATGTTAAAAATAAACTCTAATTGGAAACTAAAATTTAACACAAAAGAAAATAGACCTGCATTTAGACCTTAAAGCCTTAATGCTGAGGTTCTATTTTTCCTCAACATAACAAATTTAAGTTGTCCTGCTAGGGTCTTAGGCAATCATACCTTTACATGCAAGCTCTTCTCTCAAAGTATTTGAAACGAGAAGAAATGTCAGAACTTGCTTATCACAAAATCTGTAACCAGTGGGACTCAGAGCTTGGAGTCAACAGCATCTTCTAGCAGAACTCAATTCCCTGCCCACCACCTGGAACCATGTTTTTAAATCAATGGAGTTGTCCAGGAATGAAAACAAAACAGCAAAGGAATATAAACCCTCCAGAAGTCCTCAGAACATGTTGTGAACAGACATGCTACTGTAATCAGTAATTAACAAAAGTGTATTTAGAAATAGAACTAGGAAAGAACTATTTATGATATTTATGTTTACAATATTTGTAAGTCTCTACCAGATTAACACAAAAAAACAAGAGATGGTTGGCTACTATTTCTCCATCACCATGATGTACTATAACAGATTTCCAAGGAAAAAGACTCCTATGGTAAATTTATAATGCTTCCAATGAAAGCCAATCAGCCTGGTCACTGCAGATACAGGATCATTTTTAGAAATGAAAGCAACATTTTCAGTCTTGCCAACCCACTCAGTCAGAGGACTGGTATCTTCAGGAGGGGAACAAGTTTGAGAAAATGATCTTCCGGGTCCTATGTATTGAAGGGGAAACCCAGAGGACATCCGTAGACACAGAAAATGGCATTCTATGGAGGAGAATAGCAATATGGAAAATGGAAATTCACCATTTTCACATTTAGTTGGCATACACAATGTGAAAAGGAATGGACAAAATAAAAATGCAATCTAGAAAGTTCTGGGAAGGAGTCTTTAGAGCCCATGATGTTAAGTACAATTTTGGAAGAGACTTAAAAGAAAAAATGATACTGTATCCCTGCCAGAGCTGGTCCACTTACAGGAGTCAGCATCTGAATGCTCTCCGCAAAGTTCCCAATGAAGGCCATGATGGTCATCTTCTGCATGAGCCTCTCAATTTTACTGAACTGCATCATGAACCGGTCTTCATCTGACAAGTTCTCCAGGGGCTTCCTTTCCCGCTCATAGAGCCGAAACACTTTCACCTCGTTCTCAGTTGGCAAGAACCTCATCAAACATTCTACAAAGTCTACAGGCAATGTCTTCAAGTCAAATCTGAAGACAGATGTGGACATGTCAGTGTTAGAGAGAAAACCTCCTACCTTTTCAACCGCACCCCCATTTGGTCCTGCTCATCAACCACCATCGCAATAAACTGATGATGTCTACAGCCAAACGGTGGAGATGCCACTTGGTGCTGGCTCATGACTGCCCAACAAGTAGCTTCAGTGGTCCTTTCTGAGAACCTAGACCTCATCACAACATCCATGCTCAGTTTTTAGCCCATTACTATTGATCTAAGTCTCCAGAAATCAACACTTAAATGACAGGAAGAGCGAGAAGGCAGGCTGAAGCATCTGATGTTTAAGCGGTTCAAGGACATAGTTTTTAAGGCATATTAAGTACTGCTAATTAGGGAGACTGATATTATATACACAATTACAGAATATCTGGTAAACTCTAATATTTTTCAATTAAACCAACAGTTTGGGCTATTTTCTCTACGTTAGGAAAAAAATGTATCCAAATGACTGTACTAAATGGATGTTTTGGTTTAAATGGATACATCCCTTGAAGGTATATCAGGTCTCTTTGGATATATGCTCAATTTGAACAAACAGAATATTTGCTACAATCTCTATTTTCTTCCCTGGACAATCTTTGTCCAGCAGAATGACAGAATTATATCTAATCATCATGATAAATACGGCATCTATAGATTAAAAACTAGAATGCCAACCATGTTTCAACTTCAGAAATCAGAACAGAATATAGGATACACTAGACTATTGGATTTTGATCCTGAGTACATGAAATTGGAACAAATGATTTCTGAGGGCCATATACTCCCCTAAAGATCTCTTACCGAAATTTATGAAATACCAATTTACAATGAATTCATTCCTAACACATCTAAAACATTTGTTCCTAATCATATTTGAAATCCATCATGACCACAAGAAGGGCAAAAAGATTCCTCTCATAGAAAAGTAAATAAAACCAATGCCTTCTCTGCAATCCAGGGATAAGAAAAGAACTGAACTTTAAAATTTCCTGAAAGCTGCTAAGAGAAACAGGAATCACATTCCTATTGTTATGAACTAAAATATGCATCTGTATCACATTTGCATCTGGCACTGAATTGTATCATTCCACAAATGCCATCAAATTTGTATTCAACAAATCGAGAGAAAATTCAGATACTCCAGAGCAAATGAACAGTCTCTCCCTTTTTTTAGCATCTGTAATTCTCCACTCCTTGGAGGTATTCATTGCTATAGACATACAGGAAAGCAGACCAAGTTAATAAATGATGTCATGATCCAGTTGTTACTCTTCTAAAATAATTTTCGCTCGAATACAGCGCTCACAAGGGTAATTTCTGGCCTGCCTCTTTAGTGCTGGCATTCCATTCAACTCTGAAGTCACACATATGTAACAAAGGGAACCTTTGGTATGTGGATATCAAGGATTGCTCCATCTTTTATCTTCCATCTTGCCCTATTGAAATATTTATGTTCTCTACCAATCATAACTTTCTTATTTTTGTTTTTATCCTAAATTCACTAGAATCGATTTTTCCAGAATGCCCTGAACTTACACATGTATAGCTTTACATATCTCATCGGCGGTCTTTCCAGCTTTCCTTAAAGTTATGGCAAGATTTTTGGCCCTATTTGCTTCTAGTAATGTCACTTTGTTGGATCCCTTCTGTGTTATCTTCTGTTTGCTTGAAGAAAGATCAATGGCAGGACCTTGGGCTTTTGTCTTAAATATTTCCTCAAATTCATCCACATTTAAATCCTGGAGTAGAGAGGGATGAAATAGGCAAATTGGATTACACCTAAAAATTAAGTCAGAAACCATTCTGACAGTTTCTTAAGCATCAAAGAACTTACTTTTTCTACTCAATACTTGCCTTTGACCATGGCTTACTCTGTTTTCCTGTTTGTGCTATGGCATGACTTAGGCCCCACGTACAGCTATGAACGTCTAAACTAGAGAACCGATTCCATCTGGCCAACTCAACAGCTTTTCCCTAATTACCTTGCAGGGCCGGCCACCACAGACTAAAACTATCAAACCAGACAGTGAGTGTGATTATTGAGTTCTTACTCAGAGTTCAATAAAGGGCTTTTTAATGCCCTTTTATAAATGAAGGGCAGGGTTTATATCAGATACATATTTTGTGGCATCCACTGAAGATAATTACAACCACTCCATAGCAACATAACTATTTTTTTTTAAGATTTTATTTATTTATTTGACAGACAGAGAGAGAGCACAAGTAGGCAGAGCGGCAGGTAGAGGGAGAGGGAGAAGCAGGCTCCCTGCTGAGCAGAGAGCCGGATACGGGGCTCAATCCCAGGACCCTGGGATCGTGACCTGAGCCGAAGGCAGTCGCTCAACCGACTGAGCCACCCAGGCGCCCCCATTTACTAATTTTTAATATACAAGTTTTCTTTTTGTGATTTGGAGCCATTTTCTTTTTCAAACCCTAATAGTTTTAAGCCTTTGAAAGCATTTAGATCCTACCTATATGATTAGTGGATAAAATAGACTTATTGTGTGATACAAGAGTTTAAGTCACTATTCTTAAGCAAAAAGACATATCAAGAAAATACAAAGCATAATATAATATGGTAGCTAAATAACTGGTAGAGAATATAAATCAGGTATAAATTGAAGATTTCAGACTTATGGGGTCATTTTATCTTTTTTTTTTTTTTAACATTTTATTTATTTATTTGAGACAGAGAGAATGAGAGAGAGAGAGAGCACATGAGAGGGGGGAGGGTAGGAGGAGAAGCAGACTCCCCGCTGAGCAGGGAGCCCTATGCGGGACTCGATCCAGGGACTCCGGGATCATGACCTGAGCCGAAGGCAGTCGCTTAACCAACTGAGCCACCCAGGCGCCCAAGATTTCATTTTATTTATTTATTTTTTTAAGATTTTATTTATTTATTTGAGAGAGAGCAGGAGAGGGGGTAGGGTCCGAGGGAGAAACAGACTCCCTGCCGAGCAGGGAGCCCGATGCGGGACTCGATCCCAGGACTCCAGGATCATGACCTGAGCTGAAGGCAGTCGCTTAACCATCTGAGCCACCCGGGCGCCCCCGTAACATAACTTTTTAAACACAGATTTGAAACCACCTTACAAAACAGTGTCCAACTTTATTCTCTGATATTCAAAATCCTTTTCTTCTTTACATCAAGGCATTTAAAAGGCTAGCATTGTGTCACTGAGCCTTCCAGGTTAGCAGAGCACCCATTTTAGCTTTGCTGCCCAGAGAGCCCTCCCTGCTTCTAACCAATGAGAAAGATACCTCCAGGATTCGCTCGTCATCAATTTCGTTGAAGACCGTGCCATTGATCTGATTTGGTTTCAGGGCAACCCAGTTAAAAACTGGCATTCTGAATTTCGTCTTGATTGGCTTCTTAATTTTCACAGCTACAGAAGTCAGAGAGGATGAAATTAGGACTCCACCAAAACCCCACGATCCTCAAGAACAATCAGAGAACAGTCCTTGCAGATGACACTTCAACACTGGGGCCACACAGGCAAGAGGCGCCCAAGTGTTTTTAAACACACAAAACATCACACGTGGCTTTGGCTAGGGCAATCTGAGGTCATTTGGTTGAATGATGCAACATTATGGTAAAGTTGGCTAAGAGCCAGGGGTTGTTTTTTGTGTTTGTTTTTGTTTTAATGCAGGCAAATGGATTGCTCTGTTACACTCACAATGTTAGGACAACGCTTAAGACAAAGTATTGGGGAACAAAAATTATTAATAATGTTATTAGACAGCAGAGAGGACAAATGCTCTGTGACACTGGTGAGTGTGAGTCAGATTGTGAAATCTTAAATTCTTGGTTCTAGAACACGTATTTCCAAACCAATGTTAAAAGACAATCAGAGACTGCAGTCAGTGGCTGACTCCACCACCAGGACTGTGATGTCAGGAAGGCTGGCTTTCTGCTGGAGCAATTCGCTCGTGTGGGCCATTTTGACAATGGGGATTATACTGATGCTGAGTTATTCCAACCAGACCAAGGGCCACGAACAGCTCAAAATAGAAAATATTTAAGACGACAGAAGGGGTACTCAGAAATCAGGATTAGTATTGGTTTTCGAGAATGGTCACAGTCCCGTCCCCCGCTCTTTAAAAAGCAAGTTCTCCCCAGGAGTCAGCTACATGTGACTAGAAGGCATCCATGAACCCATGAAAAACACAGAAAACCTCTTAAGAGAGGAAGGGATATCTGTCTTTGAGGGTCTGGTGAGGAATTGTCAACTCCTCTTACTGTGGGGAGATGAGCTAAAAAAGGAAATCTATTAAAAATTCCATGAATTACACATCATAAAGAAGTCTTCCCAAACCATCTACATATATATATATGTATATACATATATATATGTAGGTATGTGTACATACACATACACACACACACCTTAAGTCTGTCCTGGGCTGCCCAGCACACCATATTTGGGAGCTCCGCTATTTGCCATCATTAGTAAGGGAGGGAGAAGGGCAGTACAGAACAAAATAAACCCAATGCACACTGGGCATCCCCCTGGTTGCCGGCCATTCCTCCAGAGTTACGAAGGCCACATACCCAGCAGGAATGTCATCTGATAAATCCACACATAAGCATGCAGGAACACGGAAACACAGCTTTTGCCAAACCAGGTCATTCTACCACCGTGACACCATAAGCCCCACCACCCGACAGTGTTGGACAGCTCACCGCACTTCATTTTGGTCTACACTGCCCAGGAAAACCCGTGTCCTCCGCAGGACAAAGGAACAGACTTTCCTCTAGGCTGGCATGTGAGCGATATGGAGGGAGAAGGGGGAGCAGGGGAGAAGCTGTGCGGGATCTTCCCACAATCTGAGCTGGTGGGTCCATGCCATTTGGTTCCGCCATCCATCCATGGACACCGCAGGCCCCAGGACACGCACTGAAAGTCATCCCATCTGCAGCTACCCTACTTTTAACTCGTCGGCAAAATTAGGAATACGCCTGAGACCAGAACACAGGCCAAAAAAAAAAAAACAGTTATCTTCAGAAAGCTGTCCTAACTCCGACTGGGGAATGAAGGGTGGGTAACAGGATAGGGGGCCTACAGGTGACCATGACAGACACTGTGCTTGCAACGTTCAGGCTAAAGGAGTGGCTCTGTGTGGGTGGGCGTGTGTTCCCTGGAGAGCCGGAGACCAGCAGGAAAGGCCTGGAAAAGCAGCACCTAGAAGTCTGTCCTTGTTCTGTGGGGCAAATGCCATTTTTCCCCAGAATAAATCGAAAATCCTTCTAGAGTGGAGGCCTTAGATTCAGCTGTGACCATTAAACTAAGAGAAAAAAACACTCTTTTTCTTTCAGGGCAGAAGGAATATGGCCTATGAAATCCAGGCTGCCTGCTTACAGAGCCGTAATCTCTTTTACAGAAACATGTGGGCAAACCTAGACCAACTGTCAGCCAACAGCGAGACTTCCCGCACACACAGGGTCCAAATGCATGGTTCGGTGTAAGATGGAATGAAAAGATGTGAAGGCACAGTGTGACCAACAGAAACACATGATAGACAGTACACTCAGTGAGGAGCAACCTACAGAAAAGCTTGATTGGCCCATCTTTTGTGGAAGCAGAAAGAACAAAGAAAATACAAAAAAAAAAAAAAATTAGATATGGTTAGAGTCAAGCCACTCAGCAATTCACACACTCTTAGCAGAGAATTTCATGCTTCTTGGACACATTTCACAAGGCAGCACAGAACCATAAATGCATTTCCATTCGGGCCTGCCTTAAAGACTCACTTATTATTTTGTTTTAAAAAGTAATCCTTCTTAGAAGAGGGGAAAAAATGATCTCATTATGGTCCCAAACAGCCATACTGAACTGTGCTAGGTATTCCATAAGATACGAGCAGTGTTTTAAGAAAACCATCAGCCAAGTACAAATTCTCACTGTGAACTTACAAAGCACCTTCTCCCAAAGAGACAGCAAAGGTTACAGACTGCCTGGGCATCTGTCACAGATGACCAACACGGGAAATGGGAACCAGACTGCTCTAGCACAGATGTGGGGAGGTAAGCCTAACGCTTCAAATATACATTCCACGCTGTGCATTTTCTCTATAAAATGCAAAGACAACTTCACTAGATAAAATTAGAGGACTGCATTCAGGTCCCCTGTCTTGGCCACCATGCACACACCTGGCTCATTGCCTACCAAAGAGATAGGCCATCCTGTTGCCCATGGATCCAAGGGCCTAGCAATGTCACAGGTTTCTGGGTTCCAGGAGCCCGGGGCATATCATCTCAGCTCTGTCCCTTGCCTCTACTGGGACATCCTGATTCTGTCTGGCTTCTTCATTCCAGGGAGAAAGTTACCCCACACACTGGCAACCCATCTTACAAAATGTGCTAAATAACAGTCTTATAATCCTTAGATCTTATAAAACAGAACATCTTGTCATTGTTTAATGGACACTTAGGGCACCAAAGAGGAGATTCTTAAGTCCCACCCACAGCCCTCTAAAAATAGTCTAAGACACAAAGGGGACAGCCTCCAGCTGCATAACCCTGAAGGCAGCGCTGGGTCTTCAGCTGAACAGAGTTCCACACCGTAGAGCTGAGGCCATCCAGAGACCCTGCAAGTGTTCAAGATTAAGTCGTGGGAAGAGCCCAGAGGGGACAAGACTCCGAAGAGAGCCCTGGACCTGCACATCTCAGCCTCACGCCAAGGCAGTTCTGAGTTCTAAATGAGAGCTCGGTGGATGGAAGTAGAGGCTCTATCGTGCCAGGCTGTACCAAAGAGAAAGGAGGTGGTACCCAACGAGAGCCCCCGCAGCAAGCACGGGCCACGGGGAGCATTCGCGGGGAGCATTCGCAGGGCGCTATGAGGGAAGCCTCGTCCGTGAGCCAGGCGTCCATGGCAACTACAGGTTTCCACACTCAGTGCCTGAGAGCAGCCTGTCGATGGAAGGAATTCCTGGGGCTTGCTAGGAGGTTTTTGGTTCACATTCTAAAATCTAATAGTTCCACAATGACACACCTTTAACTTTTGTCCTTAGGAAGCAATAAAAGTTCTAGAAGAAAGGAGGAGATGGGGGTGACCCTGAATGGTAGAACTGAATCACTGGATTACTGTGAACATTACTTTCAATAGGCCCCTTGTTTGTTTCTTGGACAACTTCACAGAAGTTGGGGTGGAAGGAGACACCACAGACTCGGTGTAGAACAAGGTTGCTCCTGGGTGGCTTTCTGGTGCCTGAAAGGGCGTCAGTCACTAGGATGAATCAGTCGCACTGACTGGCCACTACAGCTGCTGATGGGACGGCGGTCCGGGAACTCTCCCACAGCTAAGGCGGTCATTAGACACTGGACAGAAGGCTCTGAGAACTACCGCACTTAACAGAGTGGTAGGTGTTCATCGGAAATAAGAGACCGAAGTGGAGGAGAAAGCAGAATTTTCTGATGTCGCAGAGACAGCACAGCAAAGCTCAGAGCTCACGGCAATTTCAAAATGCCAGGGAAATGCTCCATGACGGGGGAAATGGCTTGTGGTATTTTAGAAAAGAGTAAAAAGTCACTTCCATGAGTCAAAAAATCAGAACTCCTATTTCAAGGCATTAGAACCATTCTCTTCGTCTCGCCCCCTCCCCCCCCATGCCCCCAACACACCCAGTTTTATTTCTGGTGAGGTGGGGATGCCACATTCTCTCCTGTTAGCAGGAGGGCAGTGTGCATGATTCAGCAGCGTTTCAAGGCACAGAGATACCGCTGTCGGCAACGCGTCCCTTGAAGGTTCAGTTGCACTACAGTGAATTCTGAGGTCTTCAAATGCGCAGAAGAGATGCCTGGAAGCCTACATCGGGCAATTACGCAGAGAGCCATTTTCCCCTTTTGTAAATGACACCGCGAATACCTTCCAAAAACAGAGCCGAGAGCACCGAAAGCACCGTGTGTCAGAGCTCCGACTAGTACAGATGCCCACAAGTGTTCCATGAATCCATGAAAATGCACTGATCCCTAAGAAGGTAACTTGTCTTTCTTCCCCTTTCTAGGTGGGGAGAGCGGAAGGTGGGAAGTCTGCAAAATCAGAACTCCCTGCTAGAGAGCACAACAGCTACCCAGAGAAAAATGCCCCTGTGCATGGCTTCCCCTTTTGAGGCTCCATTAGCAGCACTGCTCTTAGATTAAGAGGAGGTACATGGGCTTGCAAGAGACCTGGACTTTCAAAGAAGCTTTAAAGTCTCGGGAGCTAACACAGTGGGTATCTCGCACACGGGTACCTGGGTCTGAATTCTGTGCTCTTACCTGCTAATCCTGAGTTGAAAACCACTGTGGGCGAGGACGTCCCGGGCAGCGGGGGTGCAGAGGGAGGAGGAGGGGGTGGTAAAGGAGAAACCAGCACAGTCTCAGCTGCAGGGCCTGGCAGAGGGGGAGGAGGGGGTGGTGGGGGAGGAGGCGGGGGAGGGGGTGGGGGTGGGGGCGGTGGCGGCATGGGTGGCGTTACTGGACCATTTTGCACTAGCAAAAAAAAGCAGAAACAAATTGCCTTTGAAAACAGGGGAATGGTTTCACCTGCAGGATGTCATGTGCAGATAAAGTATCCAAAAAACAAAACACTTAAAATGACATGGGAATTTTTTTCAAACACTATAACATCTCCCCACTGGCAAATAAAGAATACAAGGCAACATACGTAAAGGCTTCAGCTTTAGAACCTTAATCTCAAAATGTAAAAAGTGGCCAACAAAAGCAAACAAAGGACATAAACGGACAGTGGATAAAAGAAGAAATACAAATATCCCGATACCCTTTCAGTTCTCCCGCCCAGGCTTCTTACCTGCTTCAGGCGTGTCTGCCGATGGAGGTAGTGGGGGGGGAGGAGGGGGCAGGCCCGAGGAGGCGACCCCCATTACTGGTCCCATAAAGTTACCCACTGCCGCTTCTGACCCCGTGGACAATGTGCCAGAGGCCACGACTGGCAGTATGGATATGTCCCCATCCCCTTTCTTCTGAATTTTAATGCTCCCTTGTTTCTCCAGTTCATGAATCTTTTTTTCCAGAGTAGACTGTCTTTGAATGGCTTCTTCTTTTTCTTTGACCATTTTCCTTAATGTGTGAACTTGGGTATTTGCATCTTTGTAGATCTCCTGCAAAAAGAGTCCACAGTCAAGAGTTTAACTTCACATGACATTCATACCTATTACCATCAGATTGGCAAATTGAGGATCAAGAAAATAACAAAAAATAAAAGGAAAAGGAAAAGGGAAAGGGAGAGGAAAGGAAAGGAAAGGAAAAGAGAAAAAGGATACTCATAAATACATAGGAATCGTATGGAACTCAGCCAGATCCTATAAACTCCCATTCATTATCAGTTTTTCATTGGTAATGCATGCAATATATTCTAGCAATTGTTACTGTTAATACAGTTCTTTCTATTAAGAAGTGTGGCTAACTCAATTTTCCCTGCAGGTAGAGAGGAACAAGGCAGAGATAATCCAAAGATAATTTTATAGCTGACTCTGGAACACCCTGAGGGTATTTCGATGGGGCAGCATATTTTCCTTTTATTTTAAAATTTATTTGTAACTCCGAGACACATATCAGCTAACAGTAGACAAAAGGCCCTAAGTCAGATTTGGATGGAAGTCAGACTGGGATTAAAAATCTGCAGAGCATGGAATGATCTACTCATGAATAACCAGGAGCTGATTGTTCTTGAATGGGTTTCTCCGGCCTTCACAACGCCCCCTTGACCAAGCTCAGGACAGTAATCCTTGTAACATTTTCCCTTTGGTATGCAGTTAACAGAACAGGCCAGTGCTTCCCTCGACTGATTGCTTAGCTCTGTCTACGTTTTTAGCAGAAAACAAAAAAGTTACAATTTTCAATTTAAAGGCCGTCCCCGTTCCTTTTATTAGGGGCCCACCGAGGTTCCAGTGAAAGGATTTTATGGAACTTACTTGCTAGGTCTTGTACATGTGATCTCTCACCACAAACCTCCAGCAGGCAGGGAAACATTCTTCACACCCTGTCTATTATTAATAATCTGAGAGTCTGACTTGAATTGAGTCCATATGCTACAACTTTGTCTCGATGGCGTGCCAAAAAATAAATTTCCTAGAGTTAACTGTAGGACATGTCAGAATATCAAGCAACACACACAGACATGATAACCATCGCATAAAATGTGCCGTTTCATCAACGATGGTGTAAAGGCAAGCATTGTGCCTGAAAGCCCTCCAGGCGTTTTGGTGATTTTATGCTCTGGACAGTTCTAAGCACACGGATAGCACTCCATAAATACCTGACACAAGGTAAAACAATGCTAAGGCCAAATAAAATAGCTGGGATTATCTGATAACAAAATGGATTGGTTTTGCTTTGCCTTCTTTCTTTCTTTTTCTTTTTCTTTTTTTTTAATTTTTTGGTGAATGCCATTCGGTCTCGCCTACGTTGATTTCACCATTTCCATGGCAACCATCAAATCTGGTTTCAAGTAGAAGCAAAGCAAAAAAATACAAAGAAGTCCAAGTCCTAATAAAATAAATAAGGGGCATGAATTAAATCCATGCCGTGTTTTTATTTCCAAGCAAATGGGTGATCCACTGAATCAACTCAGACTCGTCCAGATGGGAAAACATTGTTGCCGTCAAAATCTGTGATAAGGAAGGACTGAACCCCCAACATTTGATTGCACACACGTGTATACATACCCTATATGTATTTTCAACTATCACCTCTGAAACGGTTCCAATAAATATGCTGCATCAGTGCATTCCCCTGACATGAATGTATTCCACGTTCTACTAGGACTAAAGCCGGTGCACAATTCCCTGCAATGCCCGTCCGGGCCAGCTGTCATCAGCGCACTTACTCGAACAACATCCAGCTCCTTGTTCCTCTGCATGAGCTGCTTTTCCAGTTCCACAATCTTGGACATGGCTTCATTCTCCGTGTCTTGCAGTTTTTCAGACAACTGTGAAGTTTTAAAAGGGAACCTGTGGTCACAACACACGACCATTCTGCTCGGGTCCTCAGTTCTCAGAAAGTAGAGCTCAAAAACCATTCGGGGCCCATCAGAGTCCTTCCTGTGTTCCCCAAGCTGTTTTTTGGAAATGTTAATATTTATAATAGGATTCTGAATACATACTTGCTTCTAATAGGAATTAGTAATCTACACATGATCTTTAATAAAATCCATACAACAGCTCCTTAGTGTTGGGACCTAGACGGTGCCTCTCCCTCTGTTTCTGCAGGAGCTGATGAGGATGGGGGACAGTGGGTAAGGCAAGAAGGGAGATTCACTCTTCCTGCCCGAAGAAAAGGCCATTAGGCCAAAACTTTTGAAAATCATCGGTCCACAAAACTTGGTTCTGTTATTATTGAAAACCAGCGGACAAAACGGTACTGCTGGTTTTGACCCAAACTACCCAAATACTAAGTCATTTGGAGGGCCAGTTCGAAAAAACGGGTGGCCTGCTACGAAAGTGGGTTGTGTGAATATGGTCATGCAATGCTGGCTGAGGCTTCCAGAAGAAGATTGGCTGAACCATGTGTTAAATAGTTACTCTTCCCACAAGGCTCTGAAAGTGAGCAACTTCGGATTTCACTGAGAATGATCACAAGTAAAGAAAACCAGGGAGGCAAGGAGAGGAGGAAGGGCAGAGCTGAAAACCCTGATCAGGTTCAGAACACGAGTCAAATCTTTTAGGGTAAGAAACATCGGGCCGCTAAGTGCCCTTCCTAAGCGGGTGCCAACCACGTCACTGCAGCACTTACAAGGTGGGGGGAAAGGTTGGCTCACCAACTTGGCTTAACCACAGCCAAGAAGATGCCCATTTCAGAGTAATGGACAAAGGTGAAGGATGTCAAGCATGTCCGATACTCTCAACTAAGAAAATGTGGAGGAAAATAAATGGGCCACTCAAATGGGGGAAAATAATATTGCTCCAAAAAGAGACCACTGATTTATAACCAAGGACACTGCCAAGCAGAATTCAACGTAAGAATTTGGTCCTCACAATGCTTGGGTCTTTAAGAAGCACCATTTTTTGGTTCATTCCTGCAATATTCAAATATCTGCTTAATGGATGAACACATGAACAGCCTCTGAAAGCCTTTAGACTCATAGTCAACTTAGTGTGTGGCAAGAAAAATCCCTCAAAGAAAAATGAGCCCCTGCCCTGAAAAGAGGACACTCCTCAAAGAAGAGGATATAAGGGAACACTCACTAATTTCCTTGAAAATGCCTACTGTTGAAGAGATTCTTTTTAGAACTTGAGTAAGCATAAGGCAAGACTGGGCAGACATGCATCACGAAACCACAAGATCACCCCGTCCACGGGCCTGTGTGGACACACGGAGTGGAGCATGACTTACATTCACAAGACTGAGTGAAATATAACTTATTGACACACCAAACCAAACTCCCACAGAGGCTGAAGTGGGCGGTATCTTGCCTGGGTAGCCATGGTAGTTGCACTGAGGGAGAGGGTTAGGTGTGAGACAGGAAAGACACAGGTAACAGTCCAATTAGCCCTGGGGCTTATTTTAGTTGCTAGAACCCATCTTTCATAGGCCTATGTGAGCACATGCGACAGAAAATGATTTCTATTCAGAAGAACAGGAGTAGAAGAGGACTTCTTCACCTCAGCCCAAATTCACATACTCGAGCGACATTTCCCCCCTACATGGCACCAACCATCTCACTCTTGGGTGCCTGTCTGTAACTAAGATGCCCAGGAAATCTGGGCTCAGCAGAAACCAGCTCAGCAGATGAGCTAAGGCAAGGCAACGGATTCCCCTTGGTTTTAAGTAACAAACATGCTTTCTTTGAAAGAACCCCGAGCGGCTTTTGACAGCTCTCTATCTCCAGCTGCAGCTCATCCCTACACTCCAAATCCTCTCACTGACCGCCCTAACAGCTAAGTGTGCGTGTGTGTCTCCTTTCCCGAGACGTAGTTACATGAGAAATGTTTTCTTCCAGCTCTTCGACCCTCTCCAAGGCCGCATTCTTGGTCTCAGCATCTTCCAGCAGAGCTCCCACATCAAACACGTTGTCCAGGTAAGCTTGAATCTGCACCTGGAGCTTGTCGCTCTCCGTGTGCTTCAGTTTCTAAGAACCAAAACGCAAGAGAAGGCGGCCTTAGCACAGCTGTGGAGAGAGAACATAATGGTACGACAGCCTACATGTTTTTGTTGCTCCCAAATACTCCAGTCTTTTCCAAGAGAGGGTTTGATGCCTCAGCCTCCTTAAGAGGATCACGGAGTGTTCGACTGTTCGTCTAAGAAGCTACCATCAGATTACTTTCTGGTGAATACCCTCTCCCAAATATATACACATCTCCTCCCTAATTCTTCCTATAAATTTATTCCCCATATCGACATATTCCAAACCAAAACATTTTGATACAGGTGAAATCAGACAACAGAAAAATTAAAAAGCAGCTTCGGAAGAGAGCTACGGTCCCAGGTTTGAGAGGCATCTGTGTGCAGAGGCGGTTAGAGTAAGTATAAGTTGCCTGACTAGAGAAGGTGGTTCGACTGAGGAAGAGAGTTAGGTGGGAGGTGGGGAAGACACGGATAGAATATATCAGCCCTGGGTTTGATTAGTAAATTGCTAGTCTACCGCCCTCCATGGTAACTTCCCCAAGATACTGCCCCAGCATAAGGAGTGCAGGGCTCCCCAAAGCACAGATCAGGAAGCCTTCCTCCACTCCCTGCCTTATAGGCCCAGGCATCCCAAAGGAAGTCAACCAGTTTTAAGGTGAAATTAGAGATCAAGAAAATCTGCGAGTCTTCCTTACAAGTAACGTAAGTCCTGACTTCCTCTGGGGGAACAGATGAGTAGCTAGAATAATCCTGGCATATGGAGGACACCAATAAACATGTACTGAACAAATCAATGGCTACTTACAAGGCTGGGCTTTTGTAAACCAATGAAGCATTTATATATTATATGCTTATAACATTAATCTTCTAACCACCTCTATCAGGGTCCAGAACCAACAGACCAGGAAGTTAGAGAAACACAGAGTTTTGGAAAAATTTTTTGAAATTTTTCAGAGGAATTATGCTCTACATAAATTCTCGGGAAGATGGATTAACTCCTAGGTCTAATCTGGAATTCCGTAACTTAGCTTGTCCTAAAGACAGTATGTTCTGTCTTAGTTTAGGAATATAAGCTAAAAAAGACACCTGAATAAGGGCAAAGCCTCGAAAGGAAAATAAAGCAGCAGCTAGGCAGGTTTTCTCACCAAGTACACGATGAGTAAGGGGCACGACCTGATGTGTTCCTCTCGCCATCGCTGCCTGGAGCCCGAAAGAGCTCCACACGACCATCACAAAACTGAACCCACTGAACCCACAACCCCATGAGCAATCTACACACCCAATGTGTGCTCAAATCCTGCCCCTCTCTGAGCAGGTAGGGAAAGAGCAGAGAGAAACCTTGATCTTAGAGCAGGAAAAGCCTTTCAATACCATATTCTGTCAAAGATATTAGTGATTATTGAAGTCAGAACACAATTCCAATGACTCTTTAATGGAAATCCATCATGCCTCTCCCTGAGTACAGTCCTTAGACAACATTAGGCCAGTCTCTCCAGGGGCAGCCTCGCCAGTATGATGAGCCAGGTCACGAGCTCAGACAGTAACCGATGCTATGACTTTGCCTCGCAATAACCTGCAATTCCCTGGCTTTCCCCCTAACGAAGCCGGGCAGCTGAACTCTGGAGAGGCCCAAGGGAAGCCCTTCTATTTTCTTCATGGCTAGAGACAAACTGGAAATTGAGGTTAACAATTCTTGCCCTCTCGCTAGTGGCCTTTCAAATTCAAGTGGACCACTGCTGCCCAGGAGGGAAAACAAAACCGCTCGAGAATCAAAGGACATGCGGGCATCCTGTGCACACACAGCCACTCGAGTCCATTTACGATTTTCACACCAACTTGCTATTTCCTAGGTGAAGAACTACAGGGAGCTGGCTGAGCACTTCTGCAGGGGAGCCAGAGAAAGAGCAACTTTAGACGGCCTGCTCCCAAGAACTTAAAAGTGGAACGACCAAAACCACCAAAGCATTAAACAGAATGTAACTGCTACACAAGGAAGTCTCTAGTGTCCATTTCCTCAGTATTTTTTTTTTTTTTTTTTTTTTACGCTCTAAGCATTTATTCATCACTCTTTAGCAGTCTTGGTTTGATGAGGTCCCCAGGGTAACCAAGAACGTGGATTGCCCAAGAGCCCGGACGAAGGGTGCAAGGAGACTTGACCCAGACAGAGCTCAAACACGGAGGAAACTGCAGCAAGGCCACAAGAGGGTGTCTGGCTCCAGTACTAAACGGCTGCAGGCAGAAGGCAGCCCGAGGTCCCAGGAGGTCGGCAAGAATCCAGTTTCTCTGGCCGATTGCATCACTCGGATAGGTTCCCTTTAACACCAGCGCTACAGTACGCGGCCACCCAGAGCCTCAAGCGTTCGTTAGTCATGGCGGAAGCTATCTTTGAAGGCAGGCAAAATAAATCAAGGCTTACACTGGAGCCAAAGGTCACGGCTCTACTTACATCCAAGTATTCATCCAGGCCTAACTTGGTAAATTCATACTGGAGGTGAACTCTGAAATTCATGTCTTCTACTGAATGCACTACGATATTAATAAACTGCATCGAGGCCACCTGCAATGAAATTGCCAGCGGGTTACATGGCTCCACACCGGTCTTCTCAGTTTAACGGCGGGCGCATGCTTTCAATGTCACACATCTAAACGCACTTACCCGTCTCCTTTTCTTTCATTTCTCTGGGTCTTCAAAATACTTTATCATTTTTTTAAATTCAAAAGGCACAGAGATACCACAGTAAGATGCCACTCCTCATCCACTAGAATGACTATAATCAAAATCAAAGTGCGGCAAGGAGGTGGACAAAGTAGAACCCGCATCCACTTGGGATGTCCACATGTGCAGCCACTTTGAAATGTCAGGCAGTTCCACAAAATGTTAAAAAGTGAGTTACCAAAGAACCCGGCAATCCTGCTCCTCGGTACGTGCCCACAGGAAATGAAAATGCATGGCTGTATAGAAACTCCCATACGAGTGTTTACAAAAGCATTATTCACAACCAGAATGCAGGGGAAAAATCATCAATGTCCATCAACCGATGGGTTAAAATAATAAGCTATATCCGCACAATGGAATATTAAATGACAATAAAAAGGGATGAAGTACTGATGCATCTTACAGTGTGGGTGAACTTGAAAACATTATGCTACATGAAACACGTCAGTCCTAACAGACCATATAAATTATGATGCCATTCATATCAAATATCCAGAACAGGCATATCTGTGGAGATAGAAAGTAGATTAGAAGCTGCCTAAGACTGGGGATGGGAAAATGGGCAGTGACTACTAATGGGGATTCCTTCTGGGGTGACAAAGTGTTCTAAATTAGACCGCAGGGATGGCCGCACCACTCTGCAAATATGCAAAAATTATGTTCAATTGTCCACCTTCAGTGGACAATTACCTCTCAGTAAAACTTTTTAGGAAGTCTTATGGGTGTACAGAACAAACTGTGTAAGGTATTACAGATATATCATAGAAAATGGAACAATCTTAAAAAAAAAAAAAAAAACATTTAAAAAATCACTTATCATCATACCACAGGATAATCACTTCTAAAATTTCACCGTGGGCCCCACTATACCAACAAGATCGTAGCAGGATCTCTGACCCAAGTTTCCATTTTTAACAATCAACCGGTTTCCATTCCACAAAAGCCTTGGATTTACTGCTTTCTCTCCACAACTGCATCAGTGGCCCTGAGACCTGCCACAGAGAAAACCAGTTCCTGGTTTGGTAAGGAACAAAACAAAGTTAGATCTGTTTTGCCTTTTTTTTTTTTTTTAAGACTTTATTTTTAAGTAATCTCTACCCGCAGCGTGGGGCCCAAACTCACAACCCTGAGATCAAGAGTTGCATGCTCTACCAACTGAGCCAGCCAAGTTCCCCTATTTTGTTTTTTTGTTTTTTGTTTTTTTTTTAAGATTTTCGTTATTTATTTGACAGAGAGAAACACAGCGAAAGAGGGAACACAAGCAGGGGGAGTGGGAGAGGGAGAAGCAGGCTTCCCACCAAGCAGGGAGCCCGATGCGGGGCTCGATCCCAGAGCCCTGGGATCATTACCTCAGCCTAAGACAGACGCTTAACGACTGAGCCACCCAGGTGCCCTTATTTTGCTCTTAATAGTGACATTTATGGTGAAAATATCTTACTAATGTTTTCCCTCTATGGGCAAACACGGTCTCCGAAAGGAGGTAAAGTGAATGAGGGATCCAGATTCACATTTTCTCTGAAAACTGCCTTCCTCCTTTCTCCTCCAAACCCAGTTTATCTTTTTTTTTGTTTCTGTTGAGTTAAAGATTTTTTTTTTTTTTTGACAGAGAGAGAAAGAGGGACAGCGAGAGAGGGAACACAAGCAGGGGGAGTGGGAGAGGGAGAAGCAGGCTTCCCGCTGAGCAGAGAGCGCAATGCGGGGCTCGATCCCACCTGGGATCACGACCTGAGCCGAAGGCAGACGCTTAACAACTGAGCCACCCAGGCGCCCCTGTTTCTGTTGACTTAGAGTCTCCTTTGAGTATAAGTCCTACACTGGAAGACAGGTCAACTCTCTACGTTACAAGGAGACTCTTGCAATTTACTAAAAAATGACTTCAGGTGCTGTGGTTAAATAGGCTAAAGATTTTGTCAGGCTTTTTTTGTTTGTTTAGTTGGGTTTTTTTGCTTTTGTCCACAAAAAAAATACAGAAAAAGGTCTTGTGTTAGGAAAATTTATGTTTTATGAGGAATAAGTTGTTCGGGAGGTTGTACAACTTAACTGCATTCCCTAGGACAGTTTTAAAAAACCCTCATTTTCTGGAGGAAAATATGGTTCAATTCCGGCAACTTTCCATTTCTCTTCTGAATATCTGTTGAGTTTTAAGATATGTCTGAGAGGCAACTATCTGCTAGGCAACAGAGGAATTGAGCAAAATACCTGCATACTAGCAGCTCCTAAATAAGCTTCCTCACTGCATGTAGATATAAATAAATGGCAAGAAATACACTGTCCCTTCTAAACAGTGCAGGCATTTTATTTTTATTTTTTAAAGATTTTATTTATTTATTTGACAGAGAGAGACACAACGAGAGCAGGAACACAAGCAGGGGGCGTGGCAGAGGGAGAAGCAGGCTTCCCGTGGAGCAAGGAGCCCGATGCGGGGCTCGATCCCAGGACCCTGGGACCATGACCTGAGCCGAAGGCAGACACTCAGCGACTGAGCCACCCAGGCATCCCCAGTGCAGGCATTTTAAAGGGCTTGATTATATAAATTTTAATTTCAGCAGAAACTCAAGTGGCAGGGAGATCCCCGAGGTCTGATAATGACTGAAGTGGGCCCCATGTAACACAGCAAGGAACAGTGCGGACCACCATTCCAGTGGCAAATTGGAAAGGGGATCTTCAGACTAAAAATAGGGGCAACTTGGCTCCAGAAGCTGATACTCTGCAAGCCCAGGGGTCTTGTGTTAGCTGAATTTTTAGTTTAAAAAAAGAGAGAAATCTGTTACTTTAGGCACCATTTCCAAATTTTTTATGGAGGGACATCACTGTCAGACTCAACTCACAAGGCTGTATGTTGGCTTCAGCGTGGGAGCCTCCAGTTTGCAACCTCAGCTTTCAGGGACAAAGAAGTTGCCCCTCTGAAGGCAGAGGAAAGAAACCAGTAAAGTGAGCCACGCATGGCTTCTTCACGTACTTATCATCCGTGCCAACACGGGCCTTCAAACACTCCAGAAATTCCTAACAAGAAAATTAAAAAGCCAATGTGAAAGCATTCGTTTCACATTATTTGTCTTTAAAAAAAAAAAAAAAAAAGGGGGGGGGCACCTGGGTGGCTCAGTCGTTAAGCGTTTGCCTTCAGCTCAGGTCATGATCCCAGGGTCCTGGGATCGAGTCCCACATCGGGCTCCCTGCTCCGCGGGAAGCCTGCTTCTCCCTCTCCCACTCCCCCTGCTTGTGTTCCTGTTCTCGCTGTCTCTCTCTGTCATATAAATAAATAAAATCTTTAAAAAAAAAACAAACAGCAAATAACAGGCTTTGATGGAACAGAAAAGCTTCTCTAGAAGGACTGCATCATTTTCACAGAATTTGGAAGGGGTTGAGGGCTAGGATGCATATAAAATTTAAGGACCCAGAAAAAATTTTCACATGAAAGGGTTAGAAATCTGCAAAGCTGTGTTTCATGGTTTACAGCCACTGAAGCAATTCAAACGAAAACTGTGCCTGGCACCCTAACACGCAGGTTTGAGCAGACTGGACAACATAAGAACTGAGCTGGGCACCTGCTCCAAGCTAGATGTGAGCTGAGAGATGAAGCCCCCGTGAGATCTCCTAGGCTCAGAAGTTGCCCGGGTCAACTGGATTGGGTCAGAGAAAGCCTGCAGATCTGGGTGCACTCATGGGTAGTCTGTCTCAGAAATGCTCTAGGGTAGATTTCCATCTTCAATCCAAGATTAAGATTAAAGTCTATGAATTCAGCAGTGCTCAAACTCCTTTTGCTGTTTGTCCCCAGAGAGGACAGCACTGCCGCTGAACCACACGTTCTTGCATGAGAACTACCGTGCTAAGGAGCTCTGCAGTATGATGATGCGCTCACAGTTACCAGAGCGGGAAGGAGATCATGAGTGGTGGAGTGGGGGGCGGGGGGTTGTGGGTGGAAATCACTGCTGTATAGTAATTTGGGGGATGCATACAGTCAATTCTACAAACCAATGCACTTTAGTCTTTGAGAATGTAGTCTGGAGAAAGCCACTGGCTGGGGTGTGCAAAAGACAAAATGGTCAAGATTCTTGGTTTCTACTTTCTTTACTGAAAACTATAACTGGCAATTGTAGGAATTTGTACCAGGAGTTAACATCCTTTCCCCAAATGCATGGCTTCACCCTTTATTCGCCTATAAATAATTAGGGCTTTGGGCCTTTATTATAAGCATTCACGTGAGGGATAAAACTGGAAATAAACACCAATTTCCCCTGTAAGGGAAAAATACAAAGTGTGAGGAACACTCTAGACTGAATCTATAGCATACTATACTCAATTTTCTGTCCTTTGTAACATTCATATGCATATACATACACACATATGTATAATATATAAATATAAATGCATTTAGGAAAAAAAGTGCAGAAACGGAGTTTGCCTTATTGAATGTAATATAGTACTGGAATAACTCACCATAAAATCTATGTTATTGTCTTCATTCCTGAAATGTTCCATCAACTTCTCAAAGCGCTGTTTTTCCCCACAAACCTGAAATACACATTTTCATCATGCATATGAAATTCCAAACATAGGCATTCTAAAATTAGATGTAGGAATTTTAGCAATAATAATTATTTCCAGAATATCTTTTTATTGCCTCTCTCAGACACTATTTACTTCTAAGTTGGTTAACTCATAAATACCAACTTGAGCCAGGCCCTTGGTTTCTTTTAAATGTTCCCTTAATATATTGAAATCTCTATCAAATGTGTTTCTCTTTTATTGGTTATCTTTGCAGTCCAACATTTGTTTAACCTGGATTCAGAATCCCAGGATGTTATGGTTTAAAAAAAAGAAAACAAAAACAACCACTTCCCCCCACCCCCTTTTCCTTTTTACAAAAGCACTTTTAAAACAGGCACGCTAAAAGATTTGGACAATTTAGTATTCAAATTCCTTGAAAGCAGATTGAAAACGTTCCTATTATATCTAAATCAAATTATTTTAGTGCATAAACCACAACACAGAAGTAGACACCAGAGCAGTAAAGATTCTACTACTATAGTGGACACTTGGGAAGCTCTATTAACCCATTCAAGGCAAGTAGAGAAATTTGCAGTGATTTATGAAGTAGCACCCCTGAGGCCTGAAACATTCACCTCAAATCAATGCTTTCATTGAACAGGTGAAAGAGGCAGATAAATTACCATGAACTGCAGGGCCCCCAAAGTATCTGGGTCTACACAGGAGTTTAAAAACACAGAGTCAAAGAAAAATTTCTAACAAATAACTCCTCTCTGGAGACTTATTCCCAAAATCAAAGGATAAACTTTAATTCTGCCAGTGACCTTGGCTACCTTTTTTTGGAACCTACTGGATTATTCCTTTTGCCTTCGGAAAGTATGTACCTGAACACCCATGAGCTACATATAATACAAGTAAGACACAGTCTCTGGTCTTATTTAACATTTTGACTTTAATCCAGGTTTCACATGCTTGACTCAATTTTCCAGTTCTATTTGTCATCTTAGCAATATATAGGATGATCCTGAGAATTCCCCTAAAATGACATTTCATAATGCTATAATACAGCCATTTAGTTCTGTCATGTTAAGTTATACATATATATATATATATAATTTATATATCTATATACGAAGAGAAAGATTCGAGAAGATAGCAATTTTGTCTGTTTTGTTCGCTACTCTATCTTTAGCATCTAGAACAACGCTTAGCATGTTGTAAGTTCCCAATAATAGCTGTTGAATTACACTGAAAAAGGACAAACGAGTAACTATGTAAAAATACACTTTAATGAAAGGATCAAAGACCTTCCCACACTAACACGTTGATGAAAGAAGAACCATCAGCCCGGAGTAGACAGGCACCAGGATTAAGGCTTTCGTGATAGTTCCTGTGCCTCAACTGTGTGCTGGGAATGTTAAGCCTTCAGCTTCGGAGGGCCACCTAGGTCTCAAAGCAGCTTAATTTTCTCAACAGACGCATATCACACGTCATTCTGATGATAACTCTCCATTTATACCTGCCTTAACAAAAAATAATTACCGAAAAAACAGTGCATGAACCCAGTCCAGAGGAAGAGAAGGAGCCTCCAAAGGAAGTGTTTAAAGTCAAGCTTTAAAAAAAAAAAACACACATGTCCAATCCCACGAGAGAGAGCCTGATTCAATAGGACCAGGCAGGGCTGCATGACACGCACACGCACCATTTTAAAAGCACCACAGACCATTTCGATGCAACTTCACAAAGACAGAGAACCAGAGATTTAAAGGGATACTTTGTTCTGCCGCTGGCCTCAGCCAGCCCCTCTTGGAGAAGAAGCAACAAGTTCCTGGAAGAAAAAGGTCTGTTGGGGGCAGGGAGGTGAGGCATTACAAGCCCAGTTCCCTAGACTACGACATCAGCCACATCTTGTGCCTAGAGGCACAGAAGTCTCTAGCCTGCAAAAAGAGCCCAGTGGCTTAAAACGGCCAAGTCTGGATATGGAGAGGGTCAGAATCACAACCTGAATTTTAAGAGAAGCCCCAACATAAGCACTTGTTTCCCAGGGGAATGGTTTACTTCCATCTGTTCTGGAAGGTTGGCAGTGGCAGGAGAAAGGAAGAGAAGCCGTCCTGGATCTGCACACAGCTAGCAACTACCCGAAGCAGTGATTCACGTTCTGTTGAGCTGCCAGGCACCCAGTGAACTAGAAGCAGCAACAGGCATCACTGAACAGTGATGAGGAGTACAATTCCTAGGCGGGCAAAACCCTTCAAAAGAAAAAGAATGTCAAGTATCTGTAAAGTACCTGGTGCCCTCAATTTATGAATGAGACTGAAACCTAGACAGAGCGAACAACTGTAACTTGATGAAAGGTCAATCCAGAAGCTAGAGCCAGGTCCCCAGCTGCCAGCCTGGCTGATGTTCCTTCTCCAGCACAGCCTAGCAGGTGCAGATAAATGTAAGACAATAACTGAAAGCATTCCAGAATTATCTGAGACACCAACAGAGATGAAAAATGTTACTGTTAAAAACCACAATCATTACGCCGGGCGTATACTTGATGTGCTTGCACCAGAATCTTCCACGGAACTTCTAAAAACGGCAGGTTCCTAGAGTCTAAATCAAGACATACTGAATGAGAATATCCACAGTGGAACTAGGAATCTGTGCTTTTAACAAGTACTCGTGGCTGCTGAACCAGCAGCTTAAATAAAATAGAGTCGCAGATTCAACCCCAACCTTTCTGACTACCAATTATAAACCAGATAACTAGATCATTAACTCTCCAACTCATTCAATCTCCAACTTAACAATAAATAAGGAGATACAGTTACCATAACTGGGTATCATGGGAATGCAGCAGGAATTGACCCACAGTCCCTGCAGAGGTACAATAAATACTAAGGTAACTCCCAAATAATCAGAGATTGTGTGCAAGGCATTAGAAAAAAGGCGATTTATATGGCTGAGGAAGGTGCATGTGGCAGTAAGAAAACAAAACTACTCATAGCCTGTTAATAAAAAAAGGCAGCATCAAATCTAGAACAAGCAATATTAGATGAATTTCATGCTGGGTAAAGATCCCAAAAATTACACACCACCCTGATAGACAGGGCTGAAATGGACATTAAGAAAAGCTTTGAGGGGCGCCTGGGTGGCTCAGTCGTTAAGCGTCTGCCTTCGGCTTAGGTCATGGTCCCAGGATCCTGGGATCGAGCCCCGCATCGGGCTCCCTGTTCCGCGGGAGGCCTGCTTCTCCCTCTCCCACTCCCCCCTGCTTGTGTTCCTTCTCTCGCTTTGTCTCTCTCTGTCAAATAAATAAATAAAATCTTAAAAAAAAAAAAAAAAAGAATGATCTGGCTGATCGCTCTCCTCACCCACTGTGAGCTCACCATGTCCCTCTCCCATCAGCTCACCATGTCCCGCTCTGTAAAGGTTTAAGCGGAAAGCTCTGTTGCCAATCTCAGCTAACGAGTTCAGGGTGGTATTTTCTGATACTGTTCCATAGGAACAGCAGGGACTCCAGAGGCCCCCCCTTTTATTTCTGCTGGAGGAAAGGAAGCATGCAAACCAGACTCACATTTGTTTCTACATTACTTTAGCAATCATTAAACAAGTATATACTGTAATCCCACAGGAAATGGCAAGATATGTTTGGGGGAGGCTGGTAAAGTTGTGTTCAGCATCAAAGGAAAGCAGTCTCAGCTCATACTGCTCACATCTGGACCACCCCACACACTTGGTTCAAATAGAACAATCATGGCTGAACGTGCCTCTTTTCTCCTTTGAAACTGACCTGGCTTCAGAAAATGGTGAGGACAAAAGGAACAAGACACCGACTCTCAGTGATGTGCAGAACCCACACATTGACTGGCCTTCGTGGGGATGCACTCAAGGACTTCACCAGAACAGATACAGGAGCCAGGAGCGTATCTGCGTGTGTATTATTGAACGTTATGTACTGCCGTGTATAACCTCCATCTGCCAACAAAGGCCAGACAGTACACGATCGGAAAACTTTCAAGTAAAAAAACTGTTCTGTGGCAACTGAAATAAGTCATTTCTTGCCTTTCATATAACCAATGGTGTTTCCCATTCCTCCACTAGCTTTAACACCAATTTCCTGGATCAGTGACAAGTAGCCACTGAAGTAGGTGGGGTAGGGAGCCAATTTAAGAAAATTCGGCCACAGGGCGCCTGGGTGGGTCAGTTGGTTAAGCGACTGCCTTCGGCTCAGGTCATGATCCCGGAGTCCCTGGATCGAGTCCCACATCAGGTTCCCCCTGCTCGGCAGGGAGTCTGCTTCTCCCTCTGACCCTCCCCCCTCTCATGTGCTCTCTCATTCTCTCTCAAATAAATAAAATCTTAAAAAAAAAAAAGAAAAGAAAAAGAAAAAAGAAGACAATTTGGCCACAGAAAGGCCAAGCAGAGTAGACTGCAGAGGAGGCTCTTGTGCATGGGAATACTCCAACTGGAACTAGGTTTCCACTACAAACAGCCAGGGCTGCCAGAAAATAAAAGTCTATGCTCCGAAAAACCATGTACTCTGCAGGAAACCTAAGAGGCATCTTCATTTATAAATCAGTGTTGTGTCAATAAATGCACTGGCCCCGATTAACACTGTATAAAGCAAAAACCCTCAGGCTGGGTTAGTAAACTGAAGACCACAGACTTCAGTTTACTAAACACCCACCCATCCCTGAGGTCCTGCCTGACGTCCATGCCCCTTTGCATCTTGAAGCTCTAACACTGATGGGGGTGAGGGGATATGAGGGCAGAAACAGGACCAAACAGGGCACCAGAAAACCTGCATCATAGGTCACAGCTCTGCCACTACCCTGCTGTGAGGCTGGACACCATGGTTGTCTCTGGAATCTCTGGACTTCCATTTTCACATCCATTAATTTAAGAGCCTTAGGTTATACTGCGTGTTTTCAAGGCTTCTTTTAGGAAGCCATAAGGGTTACAGAGGAACACTGGGGTGGGGGTGGGGTGGGGGCGTCCAGAGGTGGGGAGCTTGGCAGGGAAAGGAAAAACACAAA